CGGCCCCGGCAATATGTCACCATCATCATCATCATTATCAATGGCCATCAGACTCTTGGCCTCTTCTGCCCCAGTCGAATATTAAGCGGCAGATTTGTGTATTTATGGTTAATTCTTGGCCCTGTGACGCCTGTCTGGCATATGTAAATATGTGGGGATGGACAAAAAGACAACCATTAGCCGCCATTTGGCAGGCGACTCACGTGCGCAAATCGCTGCCACAGGTTGCCGCTGCTGCAACACTCCCCTTTCACCTTTCCGTGCCCAGAAATACACCTTAATAAGCGAAGACAGGGTGTCATATCTAATATTTAATTATTCTGCGTTTTTCAAAGGGAAATTAACAGCTTAGGATTATTCAGGTGCCCACTTAACAATTCAATATAATAGACTTAAAAAAAGAAAAACAGAATAAGTAAATACAAGTCACACAATGGAAAGGGTTAAAAAAATATAATAGTTAGATACATTTCTAATATGTTTCTCATTTCTTAAAGTATTTATATTTATTCTATGGTTGTTTTATTTTAGGTAAATAATTTCTTGTTGCCAGAGTTTCCCATTATTCCGATATCCAAGACATTGAAATATTTCTTGCCATGTAGCTTCTATTTCTATGCCTCATTTATCAGCTTGCCATCGCTGTTTTCGCTGCTGGGTTCTCGGCTTGGGACATCTGCAACATGGGTTGCAAGTTGCAGGTTGCACGTTGCTGGTGGGTTGCTGCAGGTTCCCAGATTTTACCTTTTTTTTTACCGCACTTCAGGTAGACTCGCTCTTTGTCTCAATCTGGCTGAGAAAAAGGTCAGTTGTGGTCTTTGTTGCCGCTGTAATTGCGGAAGTAGAATACATTTGGCTAAATCCAGCGTTTAGGCCCCCGCTTGTGGCTTAACAATTAAAGCCCATAAATCATCAAGTTCGCAAAAAAAAAAAACAAAAAGCAAACAGAAACAAAAAGAAAAACAAGCGAATATAACAACAACAGAAGCCAGCGGCAATAATAAGAAGTAATAATAGTAAATGAAAACATTTAGCTGCAGGCCAACTTGTTTTGCATTTGAGAAACAGCTCTCCAAAGCTCTCTAAATATGTTTCTGTATCTGTATCTGCATCTGTAAATGTATCTGTATCTGTATCTCTAACAACTCCGGTGTGTATCTGTGTATCGGCGATCGGTGTGCAAAGCTAAAGCTAAAGCCCAGATCTATAAATAGTGTCGGTTGGGGTCTCAAGGACTGCCAGTTCGGTTTCCCCGCCAAGTGTCGCCTCATTCGCGACTCGACTCGACTCACAAATCAAAAGAGCAATCAAACTCGAGTCTCAAGTCTCGAGACTTGATCCACAGAATGGAGTGCGAAATATCAGACTATTGCGATGCACTTTAGTGAGGGGATGAAAAATAAATTGAAATAACTAAAAACTAACTAAAAAACTATGTAAAGTAATAAACATTCGATAATGAATACAACATTTTAATTTATTAAGCAAACCAAAAGATAAGTTCAGCTGAAAAAGTAATTCAAAGTTCCAGTTTAATATCACTTTAATTCCAATTAGTACTTATTCCATTGAAATGACTTAACTTACCACACATTTGGCCAACAATTATCATCCAAGAGATGATGAAGACCCCAAGTAATTCCATTTCAAGCCTTGATCGCATTTCACGATCAATCCCTTGGGCTTTTGCAGTTGCGCACTTGGCGCAAATCGTTGGCCAATTGCCGGCTAATTACATGGCCTAAATGATTCGCCAACTTCCAGTTTCTTTTTTCTTTTTTTTTTTGGCTGTGTGGCAACAGTCTGGTCCAGTGGTTCAGTTGCGGCCCAAAAGCGGGAATTAAAGAGCGTGACGTTTGATTTTGTGCCCCAGACTAATTAGCATGCAACTGTTTTGTCAAATGAATGGGCAATTATACAACATACACTGAGGGGGGGAAACAGGAACTGCTGCACTTTACCTGGAAAAACAATTAGGGGATTCAACAAGCAAGTACAGAACAACAAAAAGTAAACAACTGGAAATCAGTGGGTTTTCCCTGTCCGAACTTCCGCTCGCCAACGGCGGCTTTTCCGCTTATTAAACACTTTTTATGTTTCGGGCCAGATCCTCGGCCATAAAATCCAGAATTGTCACCCAAAGTGCACTCAACTCCAGTGGAGTGTTTCAAATTTCCATTGTTTGTGTGTGGCACTATAAAATAACATAAACAAAGTTTATGGGTTTTAAAACGGGCTTTTGAGGTTTTCTGTATGCTTTTTAATATATTTTCTGTGTATTTTGGGGAGATAACATACTGGATAGTAGATACTACTACTAGTACATATGTTTATTCAATTACTATAAATTCAATAGCTTTTTTGTATCGAAACTAGTACGCATATTTATTGATTGTTAATGCACCTTGATACCCTGCTTCTCTTCTGATTACTTTGTGTATTTTTCCTCCACTTGAACTTGAACACTCGCTCATGCTGCACAGTGTAGGCAACTGCAAACTGATGAACTCACAACTGGCACCCTGCCCCTCCCCCCTCCCTCCTCCCTTCACCCTTCATCCCTTTCGAGAAACTCAAACAGTTGACAAGTGTTAATTGTGCCGATTGAAGTCCCCATTCGATTCCCAGTATTTGTGTACTTTCGCTTGTACTTATTGGGACTCAGGTAATAAGCATACAAGCACTTGAAAAATATGCAAATTTAAATATTAAATGCATATTGGTGCTTTTAACAATAATATTGTTCATAAATGGTCTTTGCATTAGTGCACTTTTTATTTGGAATTGTTTAAGAGGATTTCAAAGTTGATGAAGATTTGGAAGATTTTCTTGATATTTATTGACATTTTCTGCTTAAAAAGGCTATAATTCTTTTTCCTGCTTCTGGGAAACAATAAAATATTGTGTTCTGTGCATATCAGCCCGCATTTTAGTCGAACTTGGGTTGTTCGTGTCGTGTTGCCATTTTGTTTGGGCCAAACAATCGCAATTGACAGCAGCAACGGCAAAAGGCGTTTACAGATCTCGGCCATATGTCGCACATGGCGTCATTCCGATCCCCCAAGACCCCTATATCCCCTGGATCACCATTAAGATCGACTGGAGTCTCGGGTTCTATGGAGTGGCACTTCATTTTCAAGGCGTCAGCGGTTGTCAGGCGGCAACGGCAACATTAGACCGCTTTTGCCGCTTTACCGCTTTACCGCTGCACATGCAATTTGCGTTTTTTTTTCCCTCCATTTTTTTGTTCAGTTTTGAAGTTATTGTAGTTTTGCTGAATCGACTGGGAGAACTTTGTCTCGGTGGATTATATGGACCGGTTTGCTGGCGAAACTTTCGATTGGCCGCAAATGAGGTCGAGAGCAGGCCAAAAGCGAAAGTCAAGTCCAGTTGAGTTTGGGTTGGGGTTTGGGTTTGGGTTTGAGTTCAGTCTTAGGGTGTGCCGCCAAATGATGGTCCAAAAACCTGTCGCAGCTGCCATCGATACCCCAAGAAATACCCGCATGCGTACCTTTAATTGCCTCGTTTGGTTGCCAAACTTCCTCTTTAATTGCTGGGGTTGCAGGTTGCAATTTGCCTGTTTCTTGGGGGCTGACTTTGCACTTTGCCAGCACTTCCGCTGGCTGACTTCCCCCTTTTTTTTTTGTGTCTTCGTGCTGACTAGAGAATATCACACTTAACACCCCGGCCTGGTCAAAAACTTGAGAGCTACAAAAAGTGGACAAAAATGTAGGCAAAGCTAAGCAAATTTTTATTTAAATCATTTTCACAGTGACATGTTGGTCGAAAGAACGAATTAAAGGTGTGATTATCGGATAATATACTAGCAAGATGATCAAGTTCCGCTACAAGAGGAAAGAACCCACCAATGTGGTGGGCGTGGCAGTTGCAACTGGAGTATCCGGATCGGTATCTGGATCACCAGGATCAGGGGCAGGAACAGCCAATGGTCCAGCCGCAACCTCACCCGTTGCGGTTCCCATGCCCATCCACCATCCGCAGCTGAACCACCTGATCAGCAACAATGGAGGCACCCTGCCCCGGAGTAGTCCTCGCAAGCTGATCCTGGATGGAGCCGACAAGTCGGCCACCTTGACCCGCCAGCAGTCCAAGCAGAAGTCGGTCAGTGCCTTGGCCAAAGTGGCCAGCAGCGTGGAGTTGGCCGTAATGGGCTATAATGGCAGTGGCAGTGGCAGTGGCAGCATCAACAATCTGGCAGGGAATTCGGAGAGGGATCGCTGCATCAATGCGGTTATTGTAAGTCCAGGGAATACATAATATAAGCTAAGGATATATATATAAATAATAATACCTCATTACACCTCATTTATTGTATGGTTAAGTGTCTTGAAAAAGAAAAAATTGTAGTTATAAAATACTTATATTATACTAAAGATCGAAAATATGTATATAGCTCTTAGTCATATAAAGTATGTTATAATGTTTTAAACCTTCGAATTGTTATTTCTCCGAGGAACTTAAAGGTTAATACTAAAAATATATACCACATTTATTAGCGTATTAATAATCATAAAGTATACAAAAACCAAGTTATTTACAGGCACACCTAGTTTAGAAGTAAACAAAAAAAGCTTGAAGACTAAAACAAACACATTAGTCACCTTAGCTTTCTAATTAATTAACAGTTGTCTTATGACTTGATCATTTTCGGTTTTACAAAAATAACTCACATAAGTATAAAGTATATAAATAATATTTTTTAATGATGTATTATTATACTTTTTGATTTTAAACTTACATGATAATCAGCTTAAACATTACGAGTGTAAAGTAGGAAATGCTTTCAGTTCTTGCAGTTTACACGTAGCCACAGATAGCTTAAAATAAGCTAAAGTGAGATATGTTTAAGCAAATGAAGCTCACAAAAACCACTCAGCAATGTCATATGATAAGCTTATTTTTTTATAGAAAAGAAAAGTAAGATACTTTTGGCCATTTAGATATTTAAATAATTCCCCTTTTTTCTTCCAACAAAATAGGAACTCTTCCAGCAGCTGCAGACCAGTTCGGAACCGGCCTTGTGTCCGGAGCCACTGCGTCGGGCTCTGGCCAGCGGTCCTTTGGCAGGACGACGCTTCCCACTGGGATGCCTGGGCGACGCCGCCGAGTGCTTCGAGCTCCTGCTGCACCGCGTCCACTCGCACATCTCGCCGGATGATGGCGACTCCTGCGAGTCATCCGCCTGCATCGCCCACCGCAGGTTCGCCATGCGCGTCATCGAGCAGAGCGTCTGCAAGTGCGGCGCCAACTCGGAGCAGCTGCCCTTCACCCAGGTGAGTTTCTAACTAGGATTGGGATTCCAGGGATAGTTCACCCAAAACCTCATGGTCGTGGCCCACCCAGACTTCAAGTTATTCGAGCTCGAAAACCTTGACCACTTTTACTTTGGGTTATGACTTTAAAGTGGCATTACCACTGTAAACAAACAAACTACCAGAATTGCAGATTTAACTTCTTATCATAGATCCCCTTAAATCAATACATTAACCTTCCAATAAGAAATACCAAAGGTATTGTAATAAAACAAACCTAAAAATAAAGAGCTTATTAAATTTAAAATTCAAATTGTAAGAAACATATAACTTTTTAAGCGGAAGAGATGGAAAGTTCTTGAATCTGGCTCGTTTTGGGTTATGTTTTGCATTTGAAATACCCACCTGACTGGTTTCTCTATTTCTGCTTTATCTCTGCATACTATTTGCATCTTAATTGTTCATCTTAATGAGCCTGATTTATATTTGGCAGTGAGCTTAGGTCTAAGCTTAGCTTAATTTGCCAAAATAAACTCAAGTAATTGTTTGCAAACGATATGTATTTACCTTGATGTGGTTTATTTATAAAAGATAAAGAATGATTTTTAAAGAAGTACTTACTATAGAGAAGCAGAAACGGTAATAAAATGTTGTTCATATCTACAAAAGCTTTTGAGAAGCTGAGTAATGCTGGCCAGCAGTTGTCTGGTATCTTAAATCTCAAGTCCCTGAACTTTTCTGCCAGTGTAGACAACTCGTTTGTACCCCGACTGATGCCTTGGATGTGGAGATACGATCGGAGATCGTGGCGTGGGTTCCAGTTCGGAACACCTGCAGCACTCGGCGTTGCACTTGCCGAGTGTCCACTGTCTGCCACTTGTCTCTCCGTCCGAGAACAGTTACTTGGATGTGGTATCTGTTGCTCGAGAACGGGTTATGGGTTATGGCCATGCACATGCAGATTGGCAGCTCACTAAGCCGTCGGACCAGTTGGTCCCTTAAAAGGGGGCTGATTATCGATGGTATCGACTAGTCGTCTGGTTGGTGACGTCAGTGGTTTCAGTTTTGGGCTCGTGGGCGTACCACTTCCGTCTTGACCATATTCCGCAAATGGCTAATTGACTTCTGATTCCCGATCTCCCACAGATGGTGCACTACGTCTCCGCCTCGGCGTTGACCTCCCAAAAGAGCCTCGCCCTGCAATCGCACCAGCAACTGAGTTTCGGCCAACTTCTGAGGGCGGCCGGTAATATGGGCGACATACGCGATTGTCCGGTGAGTAGTCATATACCCAAATATATATATATAGCACACCCGGCTAATCTGTATCGTATTGTTAATCCCGAAAACAGAACACCTGTGGCGCCAAGATAGGCATTTGCCGGGCTTTGCTCAACCGACCGGACGTGGTGTCCATCGGCATCGTTTGGGACTCGGAGCGACCGGCGGCGGACCAGGTGCACGCCGTGCTCAAGGCAGTGGGCACCAGCCTGCGACTGGGCGATGTCTTCCACCAGGTCAGCGAACAGCGGTGGGCCCAGCAGACGCAGCACGAGCTGGTGGGGATCGTGTCCTACTACGGCAAGCACTACACCACCTTCTTCTTCCACACGAAGCTGAAGGTGTGGGTGTACTTCGACGATGCCAATGTGAAGGAGGTGGGTCCCAGCTGGGAGGGCGTGGTGGACAAGTGCAGCCGGGGCAGGTATCAACCGCTGCTCCTGCTCTACGCCGTGCCCCAACAGCCCGCGATCAATGGTGTGGCTAGCCATGTGGAGCTGCCGCCCAGTGTGGCCCCCATCAACGGATCGGTGGTCCGCCGGGCAGTGACCCCCAGTCCGGAGAAGCCCTGTCTGGGCAGCACGAGGAGGGCCATCACCCCCACTCCGCTGCGATCGCCCAGCAACGATTACCAGAACCTCAGTGTCATCCAGAAGAACATCTTTCCGGGCACCGACGAAACGGATGCCTACATCAGCCGGAAGACGGTGGAGCACGTGCTGAGTGCCCAGTACCAGAACCTGAGTGTGATTCAGGACAAGATCGGAGGTGGCGGTGGCGGCCCTAGCGGTGCGGTCAATGGTGTGGGCCCACAAAATGCGGACAAGGATGGGGGCTTCCTGAGCAGGAAACCCATTGAGGCGGTGCTGAGTGCCCAGTTGGCCAGGAGGCAGCACCTCCAGCTCCAGCGGAGTCACAGTGCGGAGTCGAGCTCCGGCCACGCCTCCTCCTCGAACGGGAGCTCCCCGCCCAGCGATGGGCTGACCATGCCGGAGCACCTGAACCAGCCACGTCGCCGGGATTCGGGCAACTGGTCGGGGGATCGGAACAGCGCCAGTTCGGCCAGTTCCACCACGCTGGACAACCCGTATCTGTATATGGTGGCCAAGCGGGGCGTGGCGGCAGTGCCGCAGAGTCCCACGCGTCATGGTTTGCCCTATGATCCCGGCTACGACTCCTTCTCGCTGAGCTCCACGGACTCCTATCCGCCGAAGCACGCCCTGAATCCGCAGCTGGCCAAGATACCCGAGGCGGCCAATGGAGGTGGAGGTGCGCCGGGAGGCGGCATGGTGGCACATGGCCATGGAATGGCACTGTCGGGGGACTGCGAGAAGCTCTGCCACGAGGCGGACCAGCTGCTGGAGAAGTCGCGTTTGGTGGAGGAGTCGCACGACCTGGAGACGGCACTGGTGCTCTGCAATGCGGCGGCGGGAAGGGCCAGGGCGGCCATGGATGCCCCCTATAGCAATCCGCACACGATGACCTTCGCCCGGATGAAGCACAACACGTGCGTGATGCGGGCCAGGAGCCTGCACCGCCGCATCCTGGTGGAGAAGGGGGCGGAGACGGAGGCCATGCCGGAGCTGAAGCACATGCGCGAGGGCAGCATCAGCAGTGTGAAGCATGTGCGCCAGAACAGCAAGGATCGCACGCTGGAGAAGGAGCAGCATCAGCAGCAGCAGCAGTTGCAGTTCCAGCAGATCCAACAGATCCAACAGATCCAGCAGATCCACCAGCAGATCCCGGCCAGCATCGAGATCTATGCCACGCTGCCGAAGCGCAAGAGTCCCCTAAAAGCACTGGCTTCTGCTGCCGCTGCGTCCACCTGCGATGACAATGCCATCGAGTACGAGCAGGAGAAGCAGGTGGCCACCAGCAGCGGGAGCAGTCCCGGCAAGCCGGAGCGGGAGAGTCGCTCCCTGTTCGGACGCAAGGACAAGGACAAGGACAAGGAGCGGGAGAAGCGGAGTCGCAGCGAGGATCGCAACAAGCTGACCCGCGAGTTCTCGCTCACCGAGACGCTGCTCGTCAACGCCAAGGACACGCTGAAGAAGCACAAGGAGGACAAGGACGAGAAGAAGGAGAAGGACAAGAGCGGCAAGAAGCAGCACAAGATCAGGCGCAAGTTGCTAATGGGTGGCCTGATCCGCCGCAAGAACCGCTCCATGCCGGATCTCACGGAGGCGGTGGACGATGTGGCTGCCAATGCCATGGGGGGCCACCTCACCCACCACCATCCGCACTATCCCGCCCAGGCGGGGGGCGTGGCCAACTCCGGAGGAGCCCTGCTGGGCAGCTCCGTGGACGACAGTGCCGTGGGCCTGGGCAAGCACGGGCACGGCATGAGTGGCTACATATCCGAGGGCCACTTCGATTACCCTGGCTCTGGGGTGGGATCGCAGTCCGGAGCGGGCAGCAACCCCAATCCGAATCTGGAGCGGAGCAAGCTGATGCGCAAGAGCTTCCATGGGAGTGGCAGGCAGCTGACCATGGTGCCCAAGGTGGCGCCACCGCCGCCCATGCGCACCAGTTCCACGTTGACTCCGCAGCAGCAGCAGCAGCAGCAGCAGCAGCAGCAGCAGTACCACCACGAGGCCAACCTGTCCAATCTCTCGGCCATGAGCTCGAACACCTCGATCAGCGAGGACTCCTGCCAGACGATCATCACCACGTGCGCCCAGGTGCACTCGGAGCAGAGTCCGCTGAAGGACCTGCAGATGCTAAGTGGGCAGGATGAGATGCCCCTGCCACTGCCACTGCCACTGCCCATGGAACTGCCCCCGTATCCGAGTCCACCGCACTCCGCCTGCCATTCGCGGCAGGCCAGCGAGGACTTCCCGCCACCGCCGCCGCCGGAACTTGACCTGGAGCCACTCAACCAGCAGCTGAGCCAGCTGCAGGCCTTGGAGGCGGCCAGCAAGCACCAGCGGCAGCAGCTGGACTCCCTGGAGGGCACCACCAGCATCCTGGCCCAGCTGCAGCAGCGGCAGCACCTGCTGAAGCTGCGCAAGGAGCAGGCCAGCCACCCGCAGGATGCCACCTGGCTGACGGAGCTGCAGGTGAAGCAGGCCAACGATCTGAGGGCCATGCAGCGCAAGCTGGAGGCATCCTCGCCGGCGAGTGTCAGGGATCTGGCCCACCGCTTCGAGCAGCCCTCCATCCGGTCGTATGCCTCGCAGGAGCTGCTCAGCCAGCCAGGTCAACCCACTGGTCAGCTGCGCACCCAGATGAACGGACTGCCCAGTGCCAAGCTGGAGGTGGACGAGGTGGACTGTGCGGCGAGGAGTGTCCTGCCCGCCCACCAGATCCTGCCCAAGCCCAAGTACGAGATGAGCCAGTCGCAGATTGCCGAGGAGATCCGCGAGGTGGAGCTGCTCAACACGATGGTGCAGCAGACGCTGGGCCAAAGTGCGGCAGCCACTGCAGCGCCGCCCAAGCGGGTGAAGAAGAAGAGCGTCTCCTTCTGCGACCAGGTGATCCTGGTGGCCACCGCCGGCAACGAGGAGGACGACGACTTCATACCCAATCCCATACTGGAGCGGGTCCTGCGCACGGCCCAGCATCCCAACGAGAAGGTCACCGCGCAGATGATCCAGCAGCAGCAGCAGAACATGCTGCGCCTGCAAACGGAGGCGCAGCCGCGACAGCAGTTGCAGCAGCAGTTGCAGCATCAGCAGCAACAGCAACCGTCGCCCATGTTGGGCAGACCGGCAGCAGCAACACCCACAGATATGCAGCGATATGTGCAACGGATACAGCAGAATTATCAGCACCTACAGCAACATCAGCAGCAACAGCAGCAGCAACAGCAGCAACATCAGCAGCAACAGCAGCAGCAGCAACAACAGCAGCAGCAGCAACAGCAGCAGCAACAGCAGCAGCAACAGCAGCAGCAACAGCAGCAGCAGCAGCAACAGCAGCAACAACAGCACCAGCCACAGCAGCAGCAGCAACTGCAACTGCAGCAGCAACAGCAACTGCAACAGCAACAGCAACTGCAGCAGCAACAGCAACTGCAGCAGCAACAGCAACACCAGGAGCTCTACCGCCAGCAGCAGCAACATCGCACTAGCATGAGTGGCATAGCCAGCCAGCAGCACTTGCAACAGATGGACGCACAGTACACCACAATGCCACGTCCCCTGCATCATCCGCAGCTATTGGCCCAAAGCTATTCCGTGCAGTTGCAGAAGCACCAGCAATTGCAACAGCAGCAACAGCAACTGCAGCAACAGCAACTGCAACAGCAGCAGCAACAGCAACAGCAGGTCCCGCAACAACTCAGTTTGGAATACTTTAGCAATGGCAATGTGGCGACTTCCGAGCAAGTGCCTCTGCCCTCGCCTTACCAGCGGGTGCCCCTGCCACATGGCTACTACCCACTGCCCAATGCCCAGCAGCAACAGCAACTGCAGCAGCAACTGCAACAGCAGCAGCAGCAACTGATGGCCAAGCCAGTGCAGAAAAAGGTGAGCTTTGAGCCGGGAACCAAGGGCGAAGCCGACATCCTGCCCCCGCCACCGCCACCTCCCCAAACCAAGTTGGCCCTACAGAACGGATTACCCGAGGCGGGAGGAGCAGGACTGGGATCTCCGGGAGCAGGAGCAGGAGCAGGAGCCACGGCTGCCATCACCGCCATACCCACCCGCGTCTACAACAATGCCATCGTGAAGGCCTCGGCCAAGGCTGTTGAATGCAACTTGTGCCGCAAACGACATGTGATTGCACCGGCGGTGTATTGCACCAACTGCGAGTACTACCTGCAGATGCTGAACCAGCGCAGATGATGACGACCTTCGCTGGACCACGTCTCTAGTGCAACTTTCTAGCCGTACATGGAACCTGTTAATCTCAAGCAATGCAATGCTGCCACGTCGCCAATAAGGATCCGCCAAGGATGTACATAGCATGGTTACAAATACGTAGGTCTAAGGAGAGAGGAGCGGACGGATTGCCAGGCGAATCGAGGATCAAGGATCGGGGATCAAGGATCAGGGATCAGGGATCTAGGCGGAACGCAAACTGAGGGGGAACACAGTCCTTCTATGGTTCCACATGAGAAGTTCCCGCTGTGAGAGTTAACCCACCCATCAGTGCCACCATGCCACCCACTCACCCACCCACCATCCAATGTCAATGTCCCCCAGCACCACACGCACACAAGCATATTGTACACTTCCATCCGCACCTACACATATACTTGACCAGGACTCGAGCGGTTTGTACACGATGCAGTGGCTTCGTTTCGAAGGAATCTGTATCTGAATCTGAATCTGCCGCTGCATCGTTTACAGCCAACTCAGAGCCATCTGTCGCCCCATTGGACATCGATCGCTTGACTAAACGCATTCCCAGATACTAAAAAACACCCACAATGCCTGGTGGTCCGCCATTCGCTCCTATCAATCGCATAAGAGTTTTTTTTTTTCGACCACGATTTTTAAATACATATTTTATTTACGCTTAAGGAATACGTTTTTTTTATGTGTGTGACGCCAGCAGTTCGAAACTCAGTCGCTGAGCTTCCTTGTGCGTGCTGTTGTCCAACGACACTCGCATTACAATTTTTTTTTTTCATATTTTTTATAGTTTTTAGTTGTACTCTTAATGAGTTGTAGCATTTATTTTTTTCTTAAAGTTTTCGTACTTAATTAGACTAAGAATATGTAAACAAACTTTTTGTGTCTTATGCATTTAAACGATTCCGTGTATTTATAGTGTTAATACTACTTTTACAATCTATACATACTTATATAAAGATTATATATTTTTATAATGATTTATAAAAGTAGATTTCTCTTTGCAGCATACAAGCAGCGAGAAAAGAGATGTCAAGCATCCACAAAAATGGTAAACAATTATTTTTTCTAAATAAATACATATAAAATAAAAATCCGGTGTTTTTACTTAGAAATATTATGGGCAAATCAAGGGACAAGAGCTGGGTTTATTTCAATTTTTAATTGAAATTGGAAACGAATTCTTCAAAATAGACCACATTGTTTGGTTGGAGTCTGCGCTAAGCCATAACAAGGACTTGCACCATGGGCTGAGACCCCGCTATGCACTGCTTTAAATAGGTCTAAAATTCCCAATGCGAGCAAGCGGTCTGCTGTCCTCAGTTTGAGAGGCACTGGTCAAATGTATATGTTTTTCTTGGCAGAGCGAATATATCATCTACATGATTTTATGACATGCCGTTTTAAAATCAGTTAGAAAAGTTCGAAGGTTTTGGGTCACTTTTTGGCATAGCCGTTTTTCGGAAATTTGGAAAGGGTAACCATCATCAAAATGTGATGAAAATCAATCCAAAATTACAAACCAAAGTTTAAATGCAGATTTTTAGGAAATTAGAACACGATTCATTTAAGATATACCGTTTTGAAATCGGACTTCAGTTAGAAAAGTTATGGACTCAGAAGTGCAGGTTTTGGGTCACTTTTTGACAAAGCCGTTTTTCGTAAATTTGGAAAGGGTAACCATCATCAAAATGTGAAGAAAATCGATCCAAAATTACAAACCAAAGTTTGAATGCAGATTTTTAGGAAATTAGAACACGATTCATTTAAGATATACCGTTTTGAAATCGGACTTCAGTTAGAAAAGTTATGGACTCAGAAGTGCAGGTTTTGGGTCACTTTTTGACAAAGCCGTTTTTCGGAAATTTGGAAAGGGTAACCATCATCAAAATGTGAAGAAAATCGATCCAAAATTACAAATCAAAGTTTGAATGCAGATTTTTAGGTAATTAGCACACAATCCATTTAAGATATACCATTTTGAAATCGGACTTCAGTTAGAAAAGTTATGGACTCAGAAGTGCAGGTTTTGGGTCACTTTTTGACAAAGCCGTTTTTCGGAAATTTGGAAAGGGTAACCATCATCAAAATGTGAAGAAAATCGATCCAAAATTACAAACCAAAGTTTGAATGCAGATTTTTAGGAAATTAGAACACGATTCATTTAAGATATACCGTTTTGAAATCGGACTTCAGTTAGAAAAGTTATGGACTCAGAAGTGCAGGTTTTGGGTCACTTTTTGACAAAGCCGTTTTTCGGAAATTTGGAAAGGGTAACCATCATCAAAATGTGAAGAAAATCGATCCAAAATTACAAATCAAAGTTTGAATGCAGATTTTTAGGTAATTAGCACACGATCCATTTAAGATATACCATTTTGAAATCGGACTTCAGTTAGAAAAGTTATGGACTCAGAAGTGCAGGTTTTGGGTCACTTTTTGGCAAAGCCGTTTTTCGGAAATTTGGAAAATGTGATGAAAATCGATCCAAAATTACAAACCAAAGCTTGAATGCAGATTTTTAGGTAATTAGCACACGATCCATTTAAGATATACCATTTTGAAATCGGACTTCAGTTAGAGAAGTTATGGTCTTAGAAGTGCTGTGTTTTGGTCATTTCAAATATTCACATTTGCCAACTAGGCTGAAATAAGACGCATAGCTAACTCTTATGTGTGGCTTTAAGCTGTAAATGCTTAAATTATTGAAACATTTTTCAATGCGTTAAACTTGGTATTACATTCCCAATTTGTACAGCTCTTTGAGTTATTTGCTACATTTATCCATGAATAACAGCTTGTTGCATTGGTTTAAATCAAATGTGTTTCTCTTCATTTCGTTTCCCAAATTGTCGTTTTGGAATGCCTTTCCTTAATATTTCTTCATATTCAAAGTATTTTCAGTTTACAAAGCTGTACAAATGGAGTCCATTTAATGGACAAAGATTTAATAGAGGCAATTCTGTATCGTATGTCGTTGAATTTTGATATAACATCATCAGCTTGTACGCTTACATGCGATATTTTTCATAAATAATTCATAGCATTGTCTCATATTTTTGCTTGGTTATAAGCTTATTGAATAATGGTTTTTTTGCAGCATTTTTTTCCAAATCGTTTTTAAAGAACAATTCTTCCATACGATTTATTATACTTGTTTTTAGCTGAAAGTGATACTTTGTTTAAGTATAGCCATAGAATTATAATTAACAAATGTATATTCTTCGAATTGAAACAATCAGGTTAATGAATTCAAAGAAATGTTATTGGCCGATTCGTTATAGAGCTTTTCTTGACATATTCCTTTATGTTCAATAGTTAATCATAATATAGTCGTAGCCGATGAAAGTGCAACCCGCACTTATGTATATTTCCCAACACCAATAAAAGACAGTTGTTTTGGTTAATTTAAATCACTTGTTTAATTTGTGGGTTTAGTAATCGTTCACTTGAATCCCATGCCGATTCACAAAGAAATCCACATAAAATTCAGATCGTTGGGCTCCGCAGAATAAACATACTTTATTTCTTTGTGAATCGGCTCAGGCGTATAACGGTTCCATTATATTCATTTTATTCTTGGGGCCCTCGGTGAAGATTCGTATAACGTTTCCACACATTTTTCATTTTACTTGCATTTTTTTTTTTGTGTTTATTTCATTTATCATACATCTTTTCAAGAATTGCGTAGAACGTTGACCAGCAAGTTTTTCTTATACTATTGTTAGTAAATGTGTTTTAGTTATTTTCTTTTTTTTTCTTGTTTTTTTTTTTCAATATTATTTTTTGAACCGTGCTCAAAGCGTTTGCTTTCAGTACCGTTCATTGTATTCGTTCTACGCAATTCGAGAATATATATACACATATATATATTTTTTTTTGGTTCCTGTTTCGGAAAACGTTTCAAATTTGCGCTTTTTGACGCATTCACCGAAACACGAACCGAGTTAGGTCGACGAAGGTGTGTCGTATGGGGGTTGTGTCTGGTGATCTGGGATCTGAGTGGGTTAGGTCGGAGATGTGTGAAAGCACGGCACATGCACAGCAAGTGTATCAAGGTGGGATTAGGATTTTGACAACTCAAAATACTGGGGTTATACACACATAAATGAAACGATGGGGAAACGGGGGTTCAAGTGGGTGGAGGAGCACAATTGACGAGTTATTAGTCTGGACAGAGCAAGGATACTGAAAAGAAAGAAGGGGTTAGGTTCTGGAACAGACGAAAACAAACAGAATATCCTCCATGGCGGATCTGAAAGTCAATTTAATATTTGGTTAGTGTATAATCTTCTCTTGAATTCGGCAGAGCTTCCTGGCTGTGGCCTTTTGATAGACTGGATTTAATGAACTGGATTTCAAGGGCTAATTTTACACCTGCTTGCATATCAAATTCAGAAGAAAGCACTAGTCTCAATGAGATTACCTAAACTGCAGGACATATGCATAAAAATGGTTTAGCTAACCAGAAGAATAGACTTTGCACAACATTCTAGCTCAAGCAATTCACCAACGGAATGAAGATGACTTTGAAATGGAAACTCAAGTTCAAGAAGTAGCCAGCGAATGTTAAAGATTATCTTTGAAAAAGTGCTGGAAATCGCCTTAAAAAAAGGGCAATTAAATTGAAAATAAATTGAAAACTTTGGCTCCGCGAGGCTCCAAGTTTCGTCTCTGCTCAAAACTCATCTGAAAAAAACACAGCATAGAAATAGGTTAATAATCAGGGCCAATACAATAATAGCTTTTGCTTTATTCCCTGGTGGAAACGTTTTGCCGGTGCCCAGTAGAAGGAATTTTGTGTTTTTTTTAACAAGCTTTATCCTAAGTTTAAGCGAACTTTTTCAGTCATAAATAAATCGACTGCAGGTCAAACGATTGACCAGCAATTAATTTGCTTTTTTATTTGTATTTTCTTTTGTTCACAAAGCGCCCGATTTATAGAGCGTTTTATGAGCATTTTTTAACGCTTTTATTGTATCTTTTTTCGCATAACTCATTATAGGCTTGTATAACGTTTTCATTTAGTTGGTTGTACTTGTTCTTTTTTATAGGTTTTTTATCCAGGCTTTTCCTGGCCTGTCTCCTCTAGTTGGGCACACCCACTCAACGTTTTCCAAGGATCGAAGACAAAAACTCACCTCCTGGCAGTTAATTTAAGGCTTTTTCAGCTAATAAACTGATTAATTGTCTGTAAGCAATGTTTTGGTTAGTTGAAAACAAAGGCAAGTGGGTAAAGTTAAATCAAAAAGCCAGTTCAAGGCGATTTCTAGACACTGCTTGTGTGGTTTACTAATGGATTAGCTAAACTATACTGATTCTTGAGTTGTTCTTTTTTTTTGGTGGCTGTGTTGATGAGTTCGTTTTGTGGGCTAGCTTGAGTTTTTGAACGATGCTGGGTTTTCAAAAGGTTTAATACGTTACTAGTCCCTTAATCGGTGGAAATCTACATATGATGGCTTTTGGCTTTCTTTAAGAACCTCTGCAGAGGCAGTTTCTTCTGGGCGTAGCTTCTTGGCTTTGGGATCTCAGTAACGGCATGGCTCCTGACTCTGCAAGTCCCTAAAACTAGCACCCTAACACCCCGTGGTCTCCCAATCCCAAGTTTTTGACGAGTTCCTAGGGCAGTGATAACTACTAAGCTTGAAATATATATGTCATCGGGGGGATGGTTCTTAAACCTCTACAATATCGCTTTGCAAGGACCAGAAATGGAGTTTTATGAACTGTGAAGTGGTGAACGTTACGATGACACTTTTTGGGGTGTTAAAAGAGCGCATAGCTCTCGCTTTTATACGTTTAGGTGGGTTTTATGGCTGCCTAAGCAGTTTTTAGCTTGGTTTATCCTGATTCTACGCTCCTGGCCGAGCAATTCTTCCCGATTTGGCCAGCTTTTCCAGAACGGAGTGGTATTCGTGAGTGCGGTCTGTGGTGTGTGCTCACCGAGGGACGCCCATGTGTTATATGCGCATCTTTCGATGCGTTCGTTAATGTTTATGGGGTTTGTATTGCGTTACCGCTCTCTTTCGGGCCTTGCAGTCCGCCCTATGGCCGTCTCGTTCTTCCGCTTGCGATGCAAACGCCTGAAGGGCGCCAAAGAGAGAGAGAGAGGTGGAGCAGTCTCTCCTGCCTACAGTATAGTTGTCTCGCTCGCATCCGCGTGCCGCCAAGTGCGCCCGATAGAGGTATGCGTACGCGTCTTCTCGAAACGCAAGTGGCGCCAAGCGGACGCTCTGGGGATTTTTGGTGCTCTTTCGATCCGTTCAGACTTTTCCATCGCAAGCGTTTTCTAGTTTTCTTTGTTCTTCCGGGGGAGTGGTACTCCTCTAATCCGGGACCATAGGGTCTACGTAGGACTGCAAGGTTTCGTTATGGGGGGCCCATCCACACGGCTTGCCGCAGCACATGTTGCACCACTCGCACCACATACGCTCTTCAAGACAGCCGCTTCTTCGCCGGAAGTGAAGACGCCATCCGGAAGAATTGCGGCTCACGAGGAGAATCTCCTTCTGCTTGAGGGCTTCTTGCGGTCTTTATAGCTTGATGACTCTATGTGGCGATGCTGCACTTGAATTTACTGTGTTACTGGTCACAGATATTGAGGGACAAAGTGGGGTTTTTAAGGCGGGGAGGGGGGGGGCGTTGGGCCCAGAAGTTGCCACTGCCCGATGGAACACATCTCGGTCGTGTTGCGTTGGGTCTCTGGGTTGCAGTTCACTCTCTAAGCTGATTTCACCTTCAAAAAATATGGCACTTTAAAAAAATGTAAAAAAAAAAATGATGCACACTTTGAACTCTTTGAGGAAGAGTTCCTTACGAGAAGTTTCCACTAGGCCATGCCGCCGACGACTGATGTTCGATTGAGCGGCGGAGACGAGAATGTAGCCTCGGTTTCCTCGTTTTCCTCGTTGTTCGCCTACCTGAGTCCAGTCCAGACCAGTCCACTCCAACCCCTGTAAGTCGTTTGGGTTCGGGTTCCCAGGGGTTCTTTTGTTCGTGGCTCAAGGCTCACGGCTCAAGGCTACTTTATAACCAGAACTCTGAAATGCAGCAGCTGCAGCCCCTTTTTTAGGTATGCATTCTAAATGGCTTCTCTACGCCTCGTTCTTTGAAATTTTCCGCAGTGCTGGCAATGCCGTTCCATGAATTTTCTTTTACATGCCGCTTTATCTGTGATTAAATACCCCGAACTTATGCAATTTAAGCGATCACTTTGGTGAATCCACGTTTTTACTAATTTGAGTTGGCTTTTTATCTATTTGTAGTGATTTTTTCCCTTTCTAGAAATTCAATTTGTACGGATAGGCCCTATTTCTACGACTTTTCAGCGGTGACTACGCACATTGAATGCTTCTCGGCGAAAAAACGACGGCCATTGGGGCTGCCACTTGTCGAAAACCGAAGGCGAACACCCCCATCTAAGCTACGCCCCTGCTTTTTTATATCAGCACACTTTTTTCACGACCCTGGTCTGCAATTACTTAAACCCTTGTTTAATTGGACTTACAAAAACCTTTCTATGTGCTTAAAAACTTATTCAAATAGTTAAACTAGACGGATCACTTTTCATTTTCCACATTTCAATTCTCAACTTCAAAGATACATTTTCTATCAGGTAGTGCGCACTACACTCGGCCCACCACTGTATCTTTTTCCAGCGAAGTGGCAACGCCGACCAACTTTAGTTCTGTTAGCTTGAAAATAACAGCGCGGCAGAGTAACATTAACAGAAAATGTAAAACGCAATTCCAATTCGAATTTGCATCTTCAACTGATGTTTTGGATTTCAACTTTACTTTTAACAACTTTAATTTGGCCGTCCCTGATAATAACAAAAATACATATTATAATTAATGTATTTGAAATATTGCTTGTCGTTTCCGTTGGCTCATACTTTTCGTTAGTATTTGTAAGCAATAATTCCATTATAGAATATGTTAGCCTCTAATTAGTAATTCCAGTAACTGAGAATTAAAATGCCATCTATAATAAAACGTATAAAATGTATTTACAAAACGATTGGGTAAAAAAATGCATACATATAATACTCGTACAAACGAACGTATTTACAACAGACTCTACAGATAAATGCGAAAAAGTAAAATAAATACCAGCGTTGACTAAGGCTAAATGCGAATGGGATTGAGAGGTATGATTTACAAGTACGGACACTCAGGCCTCCGAGAAATCGTTATCGTAGGCGTGATTGCGATATGCCCCGTAGCCCGGTTCCGCCTCCAAGTGCCCGTTTCTTCGCAGGGGAGGCTCCAATGTAGATGCCGAGGGTTTCGATTGCACGACCTCATCATTGTCCCCGTCGTCGCACTGATCGTTGTACTGGTAACTGCGGGCCAGCCACAAAAAGATGAGCATGTCGACCAGCATGAGGCTGGCGAACAGGGTGAACTCGCCGGACTGGGTGCTGGTGAACTTGAACTCGGCAATCACCACCACGATCATGTTGCCGATGGCCACCGAGAGGAGCCAGCAGGCCTGCAGGACACTCTTCATGCTGGGCGGCGACTGGGAGTAGGAGAACTCCAGTCCGGTCACGGAGAACATCACCTCGGCCGCCGTCATCACCACAATCTGGGGCAGTTGCCACAGAATCGATACGGCACTGGGGGCCACCACCTCCAGCATGTTGTAGTGGTAGCCATCGCGGGCATTTCCCGCCACCAGGAGGCTATAGAGTCCTCCGCCCTTCGCCTCGAAGCTGGCCGCATTCCTTCCATTGATGTTCACCTCGGCGAGGCCAGGCGAAATCCTGTGCAGCATCGACACATTGCGGTTGTCCAGCGAGAGTGGTGATCCCTGGGTGGCGCCACTCAGCAGCAGTACAGGTCCCTCTCCCTCCGGCGTACTCAGCAAGGCCCGCACCAAGGGCTCACTGCTTACACTGGCTGGCATTTCCAGTCCGTCGGTGAACTCCACCAACTTGCCCTGGGTCAGGAAGTAACCCGTGGACTTGCCCGGCTGCAGGCGCACTTTTCCAGTGATTTCCGGGCACTTTCCATTCACAGGCCGCGCCCTAAATGCGTACTCCTTGGCTTTCGGCACCGCAACCGCAAGATCTGACCACATTTCCAGGGATTCAATGAAGCGCGGGGCACCGTCCATCTTTTCGGCCAACTTGGTCTCAAACTCATAGCGACAGGGCATGCCATTGTACAGCCGCAGATGGGCGGTGTCCGGTTCCACGGGCGTGGCCTGGTAGGCGGCCTGCTCCATCTTCATCTCCAGAGCCGCCGACAAAAAGAATCCCATGGCAGCCAGGAGCAGGCCAATAGTGAGCTTTTGCAGCGGTCTCTTGATTCCCACGCGCCCCAGAATTGGGTAGACGATGTAGTCGAAGAGGGGCAGGAATCCCAGGATAAGCAGCGGGTTGACCACCTGCATCTGATCGGGCTTTATCTGATAGCCCAGCACCATGCCGTCCATCCGGGTGGCCTGGAAGGTCCATCGCGATCCCTGCTGGTCGAAGAGGGCCCAGAAGACGGGGAATGGCAGGAAGAGGCGCAGGATCCTGCCCAGGCACTTGGTCTCCCGCACCATCCTCGCTCCCACCGTCGGCTCGGCGTAGTCCAGGAAGCTCTCCATCGGCTCCGAGTGCCGGCGCTTGCGCCATCCCTTGAACGCATCCGCAATGCAGCGCGACACCCCGAAGATCATGTTTCCGGCCGGCGGTTGGCACCTGTACAGCCGCTTGCCGGCCATGAAGATCAGCACCGAGATGATCATCAGGACGGCGGGTACTCCAAAGGCCAGCGAGAAACAGTCCTGATCGCCGAAGCAATGGACATCCGCCCTCAGGATCGGGGTGAAGGTGGTCGAGATCAGGGAGCCCGCGTTGATGGCAAAGTAAAAGAGCGAGAAGAACTTGGCCAACTGGAGACTCTGGGCGGGCAGCGAAAACTGATCGCCACCAAAGGCCGAAACGCAGGGCTTGATCCCACCAGTTCCAATCGCAATCAGCAGGAGTCCCACCACAGTCACCGCTCTGAAAGGGGATTATGTACGTTATTATTATTATAAGCAAACATTAGATCATATAATACTCACTTGGTCGGCATCCCAGTGAGTGGAACGGCGCCAAAGGACACGACCATGGCGCCCACGCTGTAGACCAGCGACAGATACAGTATCGTCTTGTACTTCCCCAGCCAGCCATCGGCGATTAGAGCTCCGATCAGGGGAAAGATATAGACCAGCATGGTGAATGTGTGGAACAGCACCGTTGAGGTCTCCTCATTGTAGCCCAGCTTGTTGGTGAGATACAGCACCAGAATAGCTGGAAAATTACGGGATTTTTAGATAGTTACTCCTAGGATAAAGTAATCCACCGTCCCATCCCCAGAAATTACTCACTGCGCATTCCATAGTAGTTAAAACGCTCGCAGAACTCATTGCTGATAATAAACGCCACCGATTTGGGATACGGAATAGGTACCTAGAAAGGAGAAGATTAGAATCAGATTAATCCAATTATCGCGATCTAATTGTCCCGAAGTCGCACATTTTCTTTATCAGATCGGAACACTATCTCTGCATTTCTTTATCGATATTTCAACTGCTGAGAATATGCCATCTCATGGGCTGATACGGCAATTTTCAGACCAAATGTACATTGCTGAAACTCATAAAACACTCGTAACCTGAAAGATTTTTCGATTTTAAGTGCATATTAGATTTGTCAGACCAGACATTCCATCGTCTCGAAACGGAGAGACCGCCAAAACTTTCTACTCACTGCCAGTTAACTCTGTTTCAATAGCCAAATAACTTATTCTCTGAGTTCTCACAAAGGACAGTGCCGTAAACTAAATCTTTTATGTGGGGCTTGTAACTCTTAATATGCTTATAATAGTCTCGATAAAAATAACAAAACCTTACACAAATGTTCTTTGTAATGAATTTATTGTGTTGTTAAGCTCTGCTAAAAAGTTATAGGTTTTAAGTGCTGAGAAAAGTATTATATGGAAAGAATTGCACATATTTATTAGTCACTTATAACTAAGATTACCGGTTTTACGGTTAGGAATAAATATAATTTTATGGAAAGGGGAAATATATATAATATTTAATCATCTGTTAATGGTGAAAGAAAATATTATAATAGGGAAGTTTACAAATTATGAAAAAAAGTTCACCATTTTAATCTTGAGTGGTTTATTTCTAGAAGTGTATTCGAAGTAGACTTAGGAACATGACTATTACTTTAGGGGAACTCTAACAATTTTTATACCCTTGCAGAGGGTATTATAATTTTGGTCAGAAGTTTGTAACGCAGTGAAGGAGACGTTTCCGACCCTATAAAGTATATATATTCTTGATCAGGATCAATAGGGGAGTCGATATAGCCATGTCCGTCTGTCCGTCTGTCCGTCCGTCCGTCTGTCCGTCTGTCCGTCTGTCCGTCTGTTTCAATACCGTTTGCGAGCTCAGTTTAAAAGCTAGCGATCTGAAACTTTCACAGTCGTCCTAAAACAAGTGTACGCAGATCAAGTTTGAAAACCGCCCCGATCGGATGTCTATATCCTATAGCTCCCATAGGATCAATCGGATATAACTTGCAAGAATGGAAGATATTTCGCGCAGTGTAAAAGCTATTGACATAAATCTTTCCAAATCTTATTTTTTTATGCGTACCTTGATCAAAGTAAAAGCGCGTGACGATCGGACGTCTATATCCTATAGCTCCCATAGGAACAAAAGGGTAAAATCGGTTAAAATTTAATGATTTTTAGGATATTTCACGCAGTATACAAGCTATTGACATGAATCTTTCCAAATCCTATTTTTATACCCTTGCAGAGGGTATTATAATTTTGGTCAAAAGTGTGCAACGCAGTGAAGGAGACATCTCCGACCCTATAAAGTATATATATTCTTGATCAGGATCACCTCCTGAGTTGATATAGCCATGTCCGTCTGTCCGTCTGTCCGTCTGTCTGTTTCTACGCAAACTAGTCTCTCAGTTTTAAAGCTATCGGATTGAAACTTTGCACACACCCTTCTTTCCTTTGCACGCAGTATATAAGTCGGAACGGCCGGGATCGGCCGACTATATCCTATAGCTGCCATATAACTGATTGATCGGAAATGCCATAACTTTCGTGTTTGTAAAGTTAGGAAGTTGGGATTTTCTATGGGTTTTATATTTGGCCAATCAATCCGACCTACCAAATTTCATAAGGATCGGCCGACTATATCCTATAGCTGCCATATAACTGATTGATCGGAAATGCCATAACTTTGGTGTTTGTAAAGTTAGAAAGTTGGGATTTTCTATGGGTTTTATATTTGGCCAATCAATCCGACCTACCAAATTTCATAAGGATCGGCCGACTATATCCTATAGCTGCCATATAACTGATTGATCGGAAATGCCATAACTTTGGTGTTTGTTAAGTTAGGAAGTTGGGATTTTCTATGGATTTTATTTTTGGCCAATCAATGCGACCTACCAAATTTCATAAGGATCGGCCTACTATATCCTATAGCTGCCATATAACTGATTGATCGGAAATGCCATAACTTTGGTGTTTGTAAAGTTAGGAAGTTGGGATTTTCTATGGATTTTATTTTTGGCCAATCAATCCGACCTATCAAATTTCATAAGGATCGGCCGACTATATCCTATAGCTGCCATATAACTGAACGATTTTAAATGCCATAACTTTGTTGTTGTTAAAGTTAGGAAGTTCGGATTTTTTATGAGTATTAAGAATGCATCATATGAATAATTTTGGAGAATATAATTTACAGAGTATTCTGCAAGGGTATATCAACTTCGGCTCCGCCCGAAGTTAGCTTTCCTTTCTTGTTTTATGCATACATTGATCAAGGTGAAAGCGCGTGCCGATCGGACGTCTATATCCTATAGCTCCCATAGGAACAATAGGGTGAAATCGGTCCAAATTTGATGATTATCAGAATATTTCGCGCAGTGTGTAAGCTACTAACATAAAATTTTCCAATTCTTATTTATTTACGCATATCTTGATTAGGGTAAAAGCGCTTGCCGCTCGGAAGTCTATATCTTAAAGGAGATAGGAAAAATTGTTAAATGCTGCGAAAGTATCCCTTTTGTATGTGACATTTTTGCAGTATAAAAGCAATTGACTTGAAACGATGCAAATCTAGTTTACTTATGTATACCTTATTCCTTTCGCTACTTTTTCACTTTTAGCAATTTTGTCAAAGTCTGCAAGGGTATTAAAACTTCGGCTTGCCGAAGTTAGCTTCCGTCCTCGTTTTAATTGATCTCGGGTGAGGGGAACTTTCAGAATGCCCTGATGAGATCATTTGGCAAGGGTATTTCTGGGTTCGGTTAGTTAAGATACCCTTCTGTTTGTCTTTTCTATAGACATTCTCATGGTAATGCGGCTTTCTGTCGTCACTACGTCTCGTTTTCATTTTGGCTTTCGATTTTGTTGTGTTTAGTTGCGGTTTTTTTGTTTTGCCTGGCTTTTGAGTTAGTTTTTTATGTTTTGCTTTTTGTTTTGATTTGCCGCGTCTCTTGGCCAAGGTGAGCAACGGAATGCAAACGGGTTTTCTCCGGGCAAAGCTTGCCAACAAGTGTCTATATCTGTCAGTCATATTGGGTAAGTGATCCATTGATGATTGAGAATTCTGCGCACACCACGGCCTAGGCCAAGTACCCAATATGGTGTTCCCCCGCGCGATCCCCGATCACCGATTTCCTCGCACCTCGGAAGACTCACCGTTGCTGATTTGCAATTCTCCGGGGCAACTGCATTGCCGACAAATGCCATAACTAGCTTTATGTAACGCTGATGCTGGGGCTTTTATTTTTTAATTTTGGCTTGGGCTTAGACCTCAATTCGAATCTGGCCAAGACTCCAATGGAACTTCACTTAATCCACTTCACTTGGATCCCCGCAGATCTTGAGCTCTCGTCTGTCGGAGGCAACGTTCGGTATCGAACTAAGAATTCTCCGGCACTAGCCCCGAGCTTTAAAGTTCGATTTGCCACCCGTCTTTCTTCTCGCCCTTTCTTCCGCCCCCTGCCCCGCCCCCTTAAGGCAGTAACAGTTGTTAGGCGTAATAAATTAACAAACAATAGAAGATCAGATCGGTGGAGAGAGCCAAGGGGTTGGTATCGCAGGGAACTCAGGGGTGCGGGGTGCCTAAGATGATGAGATCAAAGCCACAGCTGATTGTCTTGGGCTTGTCTAGACTCTATCGCCGGGAATCATGGAGAAGGAGTACGGCGAAGGGCGATCACAAAGCTCAGGGTAAATGCATTTGCGTGGCCCGGCCACCAAAGTGGGTCACTATCGACTAAATACCCTATAAAAGCAAGGGTATATTATTATAGCCATGGTACTAGTAACTGTTTGACAAAATAAAACAATTTGAATATAAAGAACAGATAAAAATGTCACTTTGGAATATACTGGTACACTTTCTGAATAGCTCTATTAAGTAAAACAAACTTAAATCAGGAACTGAAAAGGTTCACCAAATTTGACAGCTGAATTTTTTAATAGTAAACTATTAGTTTAATCAGCGGCCCATTAAAGCCCGTTATGACACTTTAAATTAAATGCAATAAAATAATTTCAATGATAGGTTTAATGCGACAATTTAAGTGTAATCAAAATGCTGTAATCAATATTTAATTATGCTTTTATATGCTTGGCGTTATGGTTGACTGATAAGAAGTTAAAATATTTAAATATTAAAGGTAGTTTTGGGAATAAAATCTCTAAAGGGTATTATTTCTAAGGACTAGTCGTTAAAAAGGGTATTCACTGGTCGACCCTTCAGTGGAACTCAAGAGTCTTCGATTCTGATTTTGATTCTGACACTCGACGATTAATTTAATCAATTTGCGGGCAATAAAAGGATCTCGATTCGGTTGACACACATTTCTTGATGGCTGGGGGGCGTTCAAGGTCGACTGCGCTGCCACTGCGATCAATGGCCTTGGGGGCAGAAGAAAGTGCAGAAAATGGAGAAGAATGTGGGGAAAGAAGGCAGAAGAAAAGTCATTGGAACTTCGTGAGTTCGCAGCTTCTTATGTATTTCTCTTTTTCTCGAGCGACCATTCCAAGTGCACTAATGTGTATGCCTTTGTATGCACTGTACTTTCTCAATTGACAGCTGAAAGTGATAAGTAGCTGTTCTCCGTTTTCTTTTCTCTTCACACCGAAAGAAAAGTAAGGGGCATTTGAAAGATAACTGGATAACAGCATTTTAATTTCAGGTCTATATAGGATATATCCATATATCCGATGTAAAATTCTTTTTCTCTGCATTCTCTCTTCTTCCCTTTTTGGTACAATTTTCGTGATTTTTTTTGGATACCCTTATTTGGCATTCCGTTTACCGTCTTTTTTAAACCCTTTTTCGCCACTTACCACCACATTTTGGGAATTGGGCTCCTCTTTTTGTCCGTTTTTACCGTTGGTTATTTGCTTTGCCATTTTGGCATTGGCTTGGTTACTTTTTAATTGCGCTTTAATGAGTGCACAAAAGTCTCCGAAACGCTGGGCACTTTGGAATTTTATCGAAGTACCCCCGAAAATCGGAGAAACAGCCACAGAAACGGAAAACACACGCACACGTTTTAACAAAAAGGTTTTTTGCACTGATTTAATTTGCCAAAAAAATTATATAAAACAAATTAACAAAAAAACAGGTAAAAGGGGCGGGCGGTGGGGACTGTAACGCGATCGTCGTCGCTGGCCGACGATAAATGATGCTCTGCCCATTTGCAAGCTGCGCTTTTAAACTTAAGCCCCAAGCTCAGTCGACGTCGGCAGAGGCAAAACAAACCAAAAAACAAAACACACAAATCGAGCAAGAACAAAAATCAAATTACATTTTTAGATAAACAGGTGGATGAGAGGAGAGCACCGGCGAATTAAGCTTTGCTCTCGCTTTAAGCTGCGCTCTCCACACTCAGCAAAATTATAATTACTCTCGGGTCCGAATATTACAATTAAAAATACATATAATTAAACTTGATAAAACGATTTGAATGTATCTTTTACAGAATACAGTATAATGTTAATAAGAAATAAAAGCATTTGGCAAACCAATCAAAGCTTTTAAATATTTAAGTGAATAATGATACCACATTGCCCTAAATTAAATTTTAATTTTTAATTTTAAAAAATTCTTAAGATATTAAAATGTTTTTTCGGTGTTCCTCATTCTCTCATTTTTCAGAGATCCTTGCAGATGCAACGTTTTTTTCTTATTTTAGGGGTGTTCCAACACTCTCCTTTTTTTTCCGAAAAGCTTTTGACATTCAAGTTCAATGCTGATGGAATGACTACCCTCTGAATTAGTGCATTGGCATTATTGCTAGGAGTCCACGAATTGTATGACTTTAGTTCATTGGATATGGAAACAGCTGTATGACTTACCTGTTTAATATATGTCGACCAGATCAAATTTTTTCCAGGAGGTTTATGGTTTACTAAAGAAACCTGGAATATGTTAGCTTATCTTTATATATTTTCTATACCTCATAACCTATTGTTGTGGTAACTGTTGCAAAGTTAATATAGTTGGTATCCTTCGTTATAAAATACTTTAAATGCATATCTGTATATACTGTTGCACAATTTCCCTCTCATTAATTTTCACATCCCTTAGATACATTCTAAAGGTGTTGGGAATCTTACAGCTTATTGTCTTGTATTACATTTTCAGAAGGCTTAAAAATCTTGTTTAATAAATATATTTTCTTTGATCAAACCGACACCATATTTATTCGCAACCTTTTACTTTTTTAATTGAGTAAGCTTGTCGTTTTCTTTGACGCTTAGCAAATCAACTGATAACTCCGGATCGATCTTATCGCGATTCGATTCCATTCCGATTCCCATTCCTATTCCTATTCCTATCTAGCGATTGGACCCCTGGCCGTGCAAAATGGTCGAGTGCCAAGTGCCTGTTATCTGTGTTTGTTTTCTTTACGGCTTTGAGTAATTTGTGGGACTTTCCCAGGCAGCCATAAATCTATCCAGCTGTAAAGATTTACGATCCGTATTAGCAATGGTTTCGCATCGAGATTACTGAGGTTTTTCACGGGGTGTATCATTAAGTTGGGCGGTAACGGAAGACCAAACATACATATGTACTTAGGTATGTCCAAAAGGTTTTCATTTTCAATTTAGTAATAACACTTTTTAAACTCACCATCTCTTCGAAGTCATACGGGTCGTCTAGCTTATAGTGGACATTCCTGAAGCGCTTTTGCTTGTCTCGACGAGTATGTCTATATTGTCGAACTGCAAGAATCATTGAGGATAGTAGTCATCAGGATGGGCGTTATGAACTTACCTCGGCTGAAGTGCGATCCAGCTATGAGACGACTTAGATCGGAACTGGAGCTGCAGAGGGAGCTGGAACTGCCGGAAAACTCTGGATCCCGCTGCCTGTAATACATATTTTACCTCCAAACCGGATTTCTGACAACTTAGACAAAAAAGATGAATACAAATAATTAGATTGCTTAGTTAGTTTCATGATAAAATAAATACATTCTGATAAAAAATGGAAATGATTATTATAATAATATAGATTCCATTTTAAAACCAACCTCAGTATTAAAATAGATATCCATAAAAACAGCAACTCTGCAAAATCATATATATCTGTATCTGTGTATTCCAATCAATTGAGCAAACAATCCACCAGTTATCAGTTATCAGCACCGATATCGGGGTCTTCCACAAGTGCCCTTATCTAAGCCCCTTGAGACACTTTCCCAAGAGATCAATCGATTGGGTATCTTCGATTGGTTATCTGCCTATCTTAGGCAAGGACTTATAAGCCCTGTTACTTAATCGGCGCAAAGTGCGATTTGGCAAGCTCGTGCGATTTCGGATTAGCCCAACGATTAGGTCCGATCTAATCGGAGAGACCCTACCGTCACCTGACCACCAAATTGATATCGCCATCGATCAATCGACACACAGATGACTTTAATTAAGTGTTACTCAATCGATCGCATAGCGAGCATTATGAAGACTAGACACCATGCAATCTCGAGCCAAACGACAATCGTAAAATCGAAAGCAAGAAGCAAAACAAAAAGTTCACTTGTCGCACAGTCAGGGCCCCTTGTTGAGCAATAATGGTTAACAACAACAATAACAGTATCGGCTATGGGCTATTGGCTATTGGCTATTGACTATCAGGAATCGGCAATCGGCTATGGCCAATAGATGTTTATACTTGTTTCTGGGCATGGCTATAATGATAGGCGGCCATAAATACTATTCGCAGCTATCGACGCAGCGATTAAGTTCATAAAACAAAAACGCCACAAGTTTTGCGAACACGTCCGATTAGATGCCAATCAATGACGGTGGGCCCAAAGGGGGTTAAACTATAGGGGTTAAGTTGAGCTGATCGGATATTTCACTTGCGGAAGAATACTTCTTCCACTTTCGCTCTATTGGACTATTAATATTTACACTACTTTCTATTGTTGGCAGCACCTTTAATTTAAATTTTAATTTAATTTTAATTTTAAATAGTCACTCATTATTTAAATGGTTGAATTAAGGAATTTATATTTGTACCTTATAGATATAGATCTGTCATAGCATTATCACTAATCAAAGTGAACGTTGCGCATGATTTATATATTAACCTAGTAAATAGTTTCCCAATATTTTACTTTTCCCATTAAAATCATTTTAAAGGGCTTATTATAATTTATGGTACTACTTCCAAAAAATGCCAATCATTTGGGTATTAACGTTAGTTATTTACTCACTGAAAAGTGTGAAAAGTCATATTGTTGGTTTATACGCCAGTCATGTTTGTTTAATACTCAACTCACTGCTTTAATAATACTTGGAGTACTTTCGAATTCTTAATTAGTAACATTTGAATTGGGAGCATTTGAATTATATACATACTATACTTGATTTTGTAGTCCATATTTTATTTATTCAATAGTAATCTATCAATATTGTTAAATCTGTCTTTTTTAACCTCCAAATTTTCTTTAACTCTTATTATCTTTTATATTTTGAAGTATTATCAGCATACAGACGTAGTAGCTTCTTGAATCATTATCACTAGACCATATACTAGACAACTTTTCGATTCATGACTTATGGCCGTCGAAAGTGGGAAGCTCCCATCCCACAGATCTGCAAGTAATGCCCAAAGATAACTCGTTGGGGCGATGAAAATATTTAGTTAATGACTGGGCGCAATTGCAACCTACAACAGACAGGGCGTGGCAGGTGTGATAAGGCGCAGCCCTAAAATGAAGCAGTTGACAAAGCAATTGTGATGCACGATGATCTGGAATTAACAGGTGGTTAGTAGGGGGGCGGGGGGGAGGGTAGTGTTTAGGAAAGGGGTGGTAAAAGGGTGGGATTTGGGGTCGAGGAGGAGCAGTTTCAGTGGGTTGACTGTCATAAATAAGTACCGCGAGAGCTTCATTCATTGTGGGTAGGCGAACACCGGGCCGTAAATACTTCCACTGGCCTGTCGATAACACTGCGATTAGGCTTATCACTAGTTTTAACACTTGTTTTGTTATCCCTCGGCGGGCAGAGGCAGCGGCGGCGGCAGAGGCGGCAGCAGAGCTAGCGCGCAGTCGCAGCGGGCAGAGAGCCGGGGAAAAACGAAACCGTTAACGGCTTCTTAGCAAAGCTCGTGGACTGTCGACTTCAGTCTGAGGCTGTTGATCGCCGCTGGCGGACGTTACCCACCTCCCGATTCAAAACCGATCCGAACCGATCCGTTCCGTTCCGACGTGCTATATATTTTTTTGCAGTTGTTAAATGTTTTAATGTGAGTTACGAGTGCGCGAAATGCAATCAACAATAACAGCAATAACAATAATGGCAGAGAACTTTCCCAGAGCATTCAGAAACAGACCATAAAAATGATAAAAATACAACGCTTGACAAATTGTCATACCTTAAAGCCTAATAGTAATGTGGCATAGTTAAAACAATTCATAAATATTAAATATTCAAAAAATATTGTTTTTAGTATGTAAAAATATAAAAATAACTGCAAGGATTTATTCAGGATTTGTCTTCTTCATAATAGTATTAAAAGAATTAATTTAAATCAGTAACAGAAATATTCTTATATTATATATAACAATTTTGTATTAGTTTGTTTGTAAAAGTGCAGAATTAATTTAATGTGTCATGTTTTAAACAAAATAAACCCCTGGAAATTTTAAAACCAGTTTCAAACATTGTCTTGAATAAGTAAAAAGAGATGTTCGACCTTAAAAGTGCAATATTCATTGCAAAAGCTAAATTTTTAGCATTGAATACTATTTTAAAAATAATAAAAGTGACACTAACAAATTTTATTGACGACTATATATGCATTTCCCAGAAATGACTCAGTTAAATTTCCTTTTACAATGAATTAATACCCCATTCAACATCAATTGAGATCATATTTATTTCTGCTTGATAAAAATATATATTCCGCACATTGCAAGATTAAGTAAATTATTATTTAAATTGATTTTCAAGACTAGCAACTTGTGGTTAACGCCATTTTTAATGACCGTTTTTTTTGGTTGATTGAACTCCAGGCCAGGATTATTAAATATTGTTTTGTATGTTGTTGTATCTGATGTTTCTCAATGTAAATACGAGACAGAAGTTTAAATTGTTTTGTCAATCAAAAAGAAAGCTTCAGCTTATGCAACTTGTCCCACATATTATACTTGTATAGCGTAATGTTTTTTAAATAAATTCCATATTTCTCTTCGTTTTCAAGTGACGCGTAACGGATGTAAAGCGAACTACGGATTCCCAACATGACGGATAAAGAAAATGGTATTTATGAGTTACAAAAACCAAAATAGCATTATTATACTTTTTACAGCAAGGTGGTAATTATACAGATCAGTGAACCGAGATTTATGGGACATACTTTCGAGTCTTTAACTTAAATGGATGAATAGCTTTACATAATGTTGAAGTAATTTATTTATATATATGGGAGATACATATGCGATTTATTTCAATAGGTTCCGTATCTCTATAAACATATGTACATTTATTTATTAATATAATTAGTTGTATGGTGTTGGTATGAACTTGAATTCAGGATTTGAGACGGTGTTTCCTCTTCTATATATGCAATTTATACGACGGAAAATATCCCCTTGCCCTCGAAACGAAAGTGGTGGCACTTTTATTCAATTTATGGCGGGCCTTTCATCCGAACCCCGCCCTCCCGTCTTAAATATAGGCCGTTGGGTAACGTTCAAGTTGTAAAGATTAGCGGAATATCTGGGGACACTTATTGGAACTAGTGACAAAGCGAGGAGCGATTTCCAGAACTCTTGGTTTAGCGTGTGCAAACCGCAAATCTAATCGCTTTGATAACGTGCCTCGAGTGGTGGTAATCGGTAATCTTGCCCCGGGTTTTAGCCACTTGAGCTGGGGCTCCATCACAACAATCAGGCCCAAATGTGTCGGATTCGCTTTTGCCGGTCCCCAAAAAAAGAACTGCCAAACTTGGCCAATTGGCACGGACAACAGACCTTGCCTATATAAAAACTCGAATTGCCTACATTATATACCTTACATATACGTTTTCTAATTTGGATATTTGTGTGCTGTGCCTGCATTTCAATGTCAGGCCCGGTCTCATTTGCATATTCATAGACACTGCCATTGCGGCTGTTTAAAACTATGACTACGATTGCGAATGCGATTTTGTTTGGTATTCCCCACGCGAACAATTGCTGACAAATCGCTGGGAGAGCTGGAGAATGCCTGTACTTGGCGTAACTTGCAATTAGTAAACAATTTGCCTGGCATTCCATCGGTTAGCTGCTCAGTTTTAGTTTCGGGGCAGAGAACTTGGCCGAAACGGCTGGGGCGGTAGCGATATCGGGCCGTAATTGCCGTTTCGAACGGAACAAGACAATCAAAGTTTGCGCGCCACCAAAAACACGAACTTATCTAGCACTAGCACTCGCTGTTGACAACTTCCATTGAACAATTCTGTTTCTTCACAGCTGCAGAAAAACATTTGTAATTAAGACCGGGGCAGAAACGCCCCTTATCATTACCCATAAACCGCTCTCGCCCTAATCGCTTGTAAATCAGATGGATGGGGCTTCTGCCGGCCCTATTTTCAGAACCGCTCTCTATGGCGATTACGATATTGGGTCGGTGCTAAATTTACAACCGATTCGATGGCCAATCTCTGAACAACACCGACTGCGATAACGATGCCGATAGCGTTGGAAAAGTCATCATTGTAGTACCGCCCGATCCGATCTGCAATGTCATCCAGAACCAAGTACTTATAAAGGCACGTACGCACTTGCTTTTCAACTCAACTTGGGACATGGGATTGTATAAAGCTACTGGTGCTGAAAGGCTGGCAGACATTTCTCTATCTTCGATTTAGTCACCATTTGCATTTAAAGTTATCCAACGATTTGATTTCCAATCCAACTCTGTCTATCAATCTACTCAGCAATCAATCTATTTCTCCCAAACCTTAAAAGCTTTTGAAAAAGAAATCTTGGGAAAGTGAAATTGAGAACACTTTCACACACTCGACTCTTTACAACTGCGCTCACATAACAGACATGCCAGGCTTATCTTATTATTTATAGAAAAAGCCCTCATTGTATTTATTTTTTAATTGCCTTGCCGTAAATTCCGGCATACCAGCGATTCCAATACAGTAACTCTATACCCCGCGTATCGATCGTTCGATCGAAGAGCACTCCTGTTTGAAGTCCCATTCCGATCGCCATCCTCCGCGACATTGACCCAAATCTAGTACTTTACTATGGACGACTGGGAATGAATGAATGAGTGAGTGGAGGAGGCGACTGACTAGGCAAACCTGGTCTCCCGATTCCAAACGGCCACCGAAGCGGGTCAATGCTGTACACGTCTGGCACTTTTTGTGTGCGATAAGGCCTTTTATGTTAATGGATGTTTGATGTGGAGTGTGGTGCGTGCAATAGCATTGTTTCCATGCTTTATGGTGCCATGTGATGGCTACATTACTGCCTCTGCCTTTGCCTCAAATGAGGGGCCATAAACGCTGATAAAGCATCGATGGATTAGCCCCGAACCGAACAGAACCGCCTATGGATATGGCCCATTAAAAAGCACGTCATTAGGGACTTTCCCAGTCGCCCCGACGATCGTTTCCTGATCCACGGAACGTATCGGATCGGATCGGAACAGATCCAATTCCAGATCCGAACATGGCACTTGCTGCAATTACCATTGAATCCTTTTGGACATGACCATTTAGGCCCGACCAGACATTCAGACGCAGCATCGTCAGTAGTCAGTAGTCAGCTGTCAGCATGTGATTTATGGACTGGAGAGCCATAGTCGCGGCCAAGTTGGCAAAAGTCAAGTCAAGAAAAGGCGATCCCCGAGAGAGCTATCTTTGTTGGCTGGCTGGGTTATCTTTTTGGCACGTTAACTCGGGGAGCCGCCTCTACGGCTCTAATGCTGGGTAATTTATGCCGGGCCTCCCAATTCACACGCCCGAGGGTAAAGCATGGCCTGGCCAAATATAGAGCAGTCCTTATCTGCCGCGGAGGTGTCAAGCACAAGGCCACAAGTCTCGGTTTCGGTTTCGGTTTACCTGTTCTGATGAAATCTGATAGCTGATCTAACAGATCGCTGGCGAATCTGTGTGGGCAAACGAAATGGAACGGCCGGCGGAGCAAGTACCACTGCTGGGTGGGCTCTCCCAATATCCGCGTACTAGAGTCCTATTTCTCTGACCTGGAACCTTCTTTCCTTCCCCAGAAATACAGCCGGCGGCTGAGCCAGCGTCTTCGCCTGCTGCAGCGATCGCTCCTGCGAGTCCAACGCCTTCGATTGGAAAGGCCTCCACGCCCAGAGCTTCGGACGCAGAGGACTCTACCCCGATTTCAGCACCAGTGGAAGACATCGCCGCAAGTGCTGCCCCCGTGGAAGACCTCACCGCAAGTGCACCTGCACCTGTGGAAAGCCAACCCGCCGCCGAGACCAATGGCAAGGCACTGGTGGAGGCCAAGAAGCTGCCCGAAATCTCCGCGGAACCCCCGAAAAATGGCAAGGAGATCGAGTCAAATGGCAAGGAGCTGCAGGAGGCCAATGACTTCAAGAATGTGTCCGAGGCTGAGGGTCAGCAGAAGGTAATCCTTTATTAGTTCTTCTTGTTAAGAGTAATCCTCAACTAACCTTGTTACTTTCCCCAGAAACTGCCGTACCCAAAGTCCGTGTTCTTTATCATCAGTAACGAGTTCTGCGAGCGTTTCAACTACTACGGCATGAGAAGTGGGTGAATCCTTGGGGATATAAGTATACCGAATCTCCACTAAACCTATTCACAACTTACAGCTGTTCTGGTCCTGTATCTGAGTCGAGTTCTGGGCTATTCCGATGACACTGCCACCGTGGTCTTCCACGTCTTTACCATGTTCGTGTACTTCCTCTGCGTTTTCGGTGCCATCCTTTCCGACTCCTGGCTGGGCAAATTCAAGACGATCCTGTACTTATCGATGGTGTATATATGCGGATCGGTGCTGCTGACCCTGGGAGCCATTGGACCACTTAACCTGCCCGTGGAGACGTTCACGATGCTGGGCCTGGCGCTAATTGCCCTCGGATCGGGTGGCATAAAGCCCTGCGTTGCGGCATTTGGCGGCGATCAGTTCAAGGTGCCGGAGCAGGTGAAGCAGATCACCTCGTTCTTCTCGCTCTTTTACTTCTCGATCAATGCCGGTTCGCTGATCTCCACCACGGTGACCCCGATCCTGCGCGAGGATGTGTCCTGCTTCGACGACATCAACTGCTATCCGCTGGCCTTCGGAGTGCCAGCCGTACTGATGGTCGTCTCGGTGGTCGTCTTCGTTCTGGGACGATCGATGTACAAGATGAAGCCGCCGGCGGGTAACATGGTGGTCCTGGTCAGCAGCACCATCTGGACGGCCCTGACCACCAAGTGCAAGGAGAAGAAGACCAATCCCCGGGAGCACTGGCTGGACTATGCCGATGCCAAGTACGATCGCCAGTTGATCGACGATGTGAAGGTGCTTATGCGCGTGCTGTTCCTCTACCTGCCGCTTCCCGTCTTCTGGGCACTGTTCGACCAGCAGGGTTCGCGATGGACCTTCCAGGCCACCCGGATGGATGGAGACATGGGCTCCTGGGACATCAAGCCCGACCAGCTGCAGGTGCTCAATCCCCTGCTCATCCTGCTCTTCATCCCCCTGTACGATGTGGCCTTCTATCCGGTCCTGAGTCTCGTGGGCATCCGACGACCACTCCAGAAACTCACCATGGGCGGCATCCTGGCCGGCATTGCATTCATTATCTCCGGCGTGGTGGAGCTCAATCTGGAGGTGAGTGGCTGTAAATCGTAGGGTGGTCCTCTGAAAAGTCTGGAAAACTTCAGTTTTATTAAGCTAAGGGTCTTCAAAAAAGGTTTTTGAATAGAAAGCAGTTTAAGGGAACCATGAAAACTCTTAAAGAAAATCGCGACTTGAATTAAAACGCAAAACTCCTAGCCAAAAACGAGGCATATCTGTTTGGGAATTGTTGAATAATTTCTATATAATTTATTTATTTATATTTCATATAAGAAATTGAATATGGCATTAACAACCCGAGGATCGCCCTATATAATAGCTTAGCTTTGCTTGCTTGTATTGTATTGTACTGTATTTGTGCCTGCACCTTTCCCCTCTTTCTATTCTTTCCATTCTTTCTCGTTGCACGCCTTGCTGTCGCTAGAAAACCTATCCCGACCTGCCCTACAGCCAGAATATCCAGCTGCGCGTCTTCAACACGGAGAACTGTGCCTACACCTTCACATCCAATTTGACGGGAGTGGAGAGCGTGGTGGTGCCGGCACTGAATGCCTACACGAACAAGGACCTCTATGTATCCGGCTGGGTGGACCTGCAATACTCCCTAAAGTCCGCGACAGCGGAATGCGCGGATATCGACAACACCACCGTAACCCTGACTGAGAATAAGGCCTGGTCGCTGTTCCTGAATCCCCAGAATGTCACCAATAGCCACTACTGGGAGGAAGACTTTGTGGACAAGCCCAGCGAGAGCCATCCGCTGATCCGAAACGTGGCCAATATTCCACAGAGTCGGACGATCCGTTGGCAGAGTGTTTCCAAGGGAGAAGTGGCCTACGAGAACTTAGCCGAGAAGACGCTACTCACCCGCGTCAATTCGGCGGACTACAATGTCTACGTGGATGAGACGAACCTTGGGGAGTTCAATGTCCACACCGGTGGAGTGTACACTCTGCTGATCAGCACGACGAGCACCGGGGGATACCAGGCCAATCTTGTCCAGGTGACGGATCCCAACTCGATGAAGATCCTCTGGCTGGTGCCGCAGTACGTGGTGATGACCCTCGGGGAGGTGATGTTCTCGGTCACCGGACTGGAGTTCTCCTACGCCCAGGCACCGCCCAGCATGAAGAGTGTCCTGCAGGCCTGCTGGCTGCTGACGGTGGCCTTCGGCAACGTCATCGTGGTCATCATTGCCGAGGCGGCACTGTTCGAATCGCAGGCCAGCGAGTTCTTCCTGTTCGCCGGACTCATGTTCGCCGACATGCTGCTCTTCATGGTGATGGCCTACTACTACGTGCCCAACGATCCCAACAAGGTGGAGGAGGCCCAGCCACTGACGGGCGACGACGCCAAGGCCGAGATCCCGCCCCTCGAGGGCGGAGTGGAGAACAAGGGCAAGGACATCAGCGAGTAGATCTCCGAGCCCCGATCTGAACTCGATTCGCTCCTGCGTTGTGTATTATATGTATTTGTAGATGTGTATATGTGAATCCTTAGTGGCTCTTGTCCATTCCCAAGCTAAGTGTAAGTGAGTTGTTGCATATGTCAAGACATCCATCTAGTTAATCTAATAAAAGAAAACTATTGATATAACCCGCTGCGTGTTGTTACTATATATATATTTTGTCTGTCTGCTGTTCACATCTCTAGAATATTTCTTTCTATCTGAACTGTGCTTTGTGTACCACTCTGTATAGTCTGATAGTCCCTATTTCAATGAGCAATAGAGACCATTGTCCAATAATTAGATTCAATTCTGAAGTAGTCCTCAATAAGTTTGTATTTCCAACATCCCCAATTGAAGTGGTTTTCTCAACGAAATGTTCTCACAGTAATTTAAATAGGAGTTCCAGCTCTGAAACTGCATGTATCTTCCAGAACACCTATCCCCTGGTCCCGAGTAGTGGTAATACCCAGCTTCGGGTCTTCAGCGGTATTCCCGACTGCGAGTACCGATTCAATACGAATCTCGGGGCCCGCGAGAGCTTCACTTTAAAGGGTCTGGACTACTATTACTCGGGTAGTGTGTCCACGAGCATCGACGGCACCTACAAGTTAACCTACACCGTCGAGAGCCTAACTGAAGGTGAGTTCCCCCATATGAAGTCCTGAAAATATCGACCCAAAATTTCAAACCAAATGCAGATTTTTAGGTAATTGGCACACGATCCTTTTAAGGCATACCATTTTAAAATCGGACTTCAGTTAGAAAAATTATGGACTTAGAAGTGCAGGTTTTGAGTCACTTTGGAAAAACCGTTTTTCGGCAATTTGGAACCATCATCAAAATGTAATGAAAATCGATCCAAAATTACAAACCAAAGTTTGAATGCAGATTTTTAGGTAATTAGCACGCGATCCATTTAAGATATACCATTTTAAAATCGGACTTCAGTTAGAAAAGTTATGGACCTAGAAGTGTAGGTTTTGGGTCATTTTTTGGCAAAGCCGTTTTTCGGAAATTTGGAAAGGGTAACCATCATCAAAATGTGATGAAAATCGATCCAAAATTACAAACCAAAGTTTAAATGCAGATTTTTAGGTAATTAGCACACGATCCATTTAAGATATACCATTTTGAACTCGGACTTCGGGTAGAAAAGTTATGGACTTAGAAGTGTAGGTTTTGGGTCATTTTTTGGCAAAGCCGTTTTTCGGAAATTTGGAAAGGGTAACCATCATCAAAATGTGAAGAAAATCGATCCAAAATTACAAACCAAAGTTTGAATGCAGATTTTCAGGTAATACGCACACGATCCATTTAAGATATACCATTTTAGAATCGGACTACAGGTTTAAAAGTTATGGGCTGAGAAGTACAGGTTTTGGGTCATTTTTTGACAACGCCGTTTTTCGGAAATTCGGAAAGGGTAACCATCATCAAAATGTGATGAAAATCGATCCAAAATTACAAACCAAAGTTTGAATGCAGATTTTTAGGTAATTAGCACATGATCCATTTAAGATATACCATTTTGAAATCGGACTTCAGTTAGAAAAGTTATGGACTTAGGAATGCAGGTTTTGGGTCATTTTTTGGCAAAGCCGTTTTTCGGAAATTTGGAAAGGGTAACATCAAAATGTGAAGAAAATCGATCCAAAATTACAAACCAAAGCTTGAATGCAGATTTTTAGGTAATTATTACACGATCCTTTTAAGACATACCATTTTAAAATCGGACTTCAGTTAGAAAAGTTATGGACTTAGAAGTGGTGGTTAAAGATTTATTATTTATTATTGTTCTCGTTAGGTTGCTCCACTTTGGAGGGTGGAACCCAACAGCTGTACGAGGCCACCGCGCACTCCTTGTTTCTGCGACCTTCGCACGCGATTGTGAAGTACTGGTACGAGGACGAGGTGCAGAAGTCCAATCGCTCCTGGGCCTTCGTGCGGACCCTGGCCAATCTGCTGGCCACCACCCGCGTGGTTTGGACGGAGGACTCGACGGCTAACGTGGCCCTGGATCTGCCCGCCCGCAATCACGATCTCTACGAGCTGAACACAGGTGGATACAGAGTCCAGGTGGCGGATCACAATCTCACCCAGCTGGCGTTGCGAGCCGGTGGTGTCTATGCCCTGCTGGTTGGCCAGAGCAACGGGTCGTTCGTATCGCGAATGATCGAGGTCACCGCCCCGAATTCCATGAACGTGCTCTGGCTGGTGCCGCAGTACGTGGTGATGACCCTCGGGGAGGTGATGTTCTCGGTCACCGGACTGGAGTTCGCCTACTCCCAATCGCCGCCCAGCATGAAGAGTGTCATGCAGGCGTGTTGGCTGCTGACGGTGGCCTTTGGGAACATCATCGTGGTGGTGGTCGCCGAACTGAAGTTCTTCACGTCGCAGGCCAGCGAGTTCTTCCTGTTCGCCGGCCTCATGTTCTTCGACATGCTGATCTTCATGTTCGTGGCCTACTTCTACAAGCCATACGACGAGGTGGCCGCAATCGCCGAGAGGGTGAGGGCTAGACGACGGGAGCGGGAACGGAGATGGCAGGACAACGAGCGATTTAAGAGGGACTAAGGCGATGGATATATATATACCTTCTCTGTATTATGTACGTAAATAAATATTCTATTGACAACAGCATTAAAAACAGTTTGTATGCGATTTATGAGGGATGAAGGGGTAGCTAACGTATTTACACAAATAAAAAACAATAAACCTTTTTAATTTTATTTATATCGAATTTTTTTCCTACATACTAAAGTTAGAGTGTGGAAAAATCAATATTATATTATTATTATTATTATATATTCAATAATCCAGCCATAAACAAACAAAAGAAATATAACAGCACGAAATTCAAATTCAAATGCGTGCGGCGTTGCCAGACTTGCGGGAAGCCTAACAGTGTGCTGTAAAGCGCATGTCACCTGACATTTGGCCTTTTTTAGGACCTTATGCGCTGACAGTTGGGCGAGAAAAAAAAACAAGAAGAGGAAGAGGTGGAAATCATATGACTTGTCGATCGATAGAGAAAAAAAGGTTGAATTTTCACCGTCGCTCCGTTTCGAACTGCACGCTTTTTGCCACACAATTCGCGCAACTTTCGGTCGAGCGAGAGCAGTCCCATAGAAAGGAATCCGCAATCCAGGAATCCAGTGGAATTCGTCACCTATTTCTCACTCCAATTGTGTGTCTGCGTCGTGTGTCATCAAGATGAACAGCTCGGGCTTTATGTTCAACATCGATAATGGATATCTGGAGGGTCTGTGCCGCGGCTTCAAGTGCGGCATCCTCAAGCAGGCCGACTATTTGAACCTGGTGCAGTGCGAGACCTTGGAGGGTGAGTACCAGGCCTGGAGACCCAGCAACTCCCCCCGAAAACCCCATTTTCCCACACGCCCCTGGGTCACATGACCGCCGATAACAGAGGCGTGCGTGTGTGTATACATGCATAAGACTGTTAATATATCTTTGCGCCGGTGTGTGTAAGCTTGTCTTGTGATTTGTTGATGTTTTTTAACTGGTTTCTGCCAGGTTTTTCCAAGGATTTTACTCATTTTTCCCTGATTTTACAGATCTCACAAAAAAGGGACTTTGGCAGCGTGATAATACCCTATTGGAGCCATAGAAGGCTACGTATTTGGGACTGTCTCTATTATCTTGCTAAAAACTACCTAGTTTTGTTCAATTTGATTGAATCACCTGTGTTTTACCTGCCTTTCTCTTGGCTTCTACCCATTTTTCCAACTTCAGCTTGCTTTGGCCAAGTTTGTACAATATTTTACCACTTTTGAATTAAAACTGATTCAAACTGTCATTAAATCTGACTACAATTGATTCTTTGAAGTATGTCAAAAGTCGTTTGTAGTCCAATCTTTTCAATGTTATCATAATTTTGAAATTACTTTTCACAGTCAAGTTTTCACTCTTTTTATTAGAAACAATCTTTCCGAAAGATTGTCTTTTGCAAAAAGAAAGAAAGGCTATATTTTAATATAACACTTTAAATATAAAGTAAAATGTCAAGTTAGAAATGAAAATAATATGCTAACCTGGTTTCCCTGGCTTTTACAGATCTCAAGCTGCATCTGCAGGGAACGGACTATGGCAGCTTCCTTGCCAACGAGCCCTCGCCTTTGTCGGTGTCCGTGATCGACGACAAGTTGCGCGAAAAGCTGGTCATCGAGTTCCAGCACATGAGGAACCACGCCGTGGAGCCGTTGTCCAACTTCCTGGACTTCATCACCTACGGCTATATGATCGACAACATCATCCTGCTGATCACCGGCACGCTGCACCAGCGCCCCATCTCTGAGCTGATCCCCAAGTGCCACCCGCTGGGCAGCTTCGAGCAGATGGAGGCCATCCATGTGGCATCCACGCCCGCCGAGCTGTATAACGCCGTCCTGGTGGACACGCCCCTGGCTCCCTTCTTCGTCGACTGCATCTCCGAGCAGGATCTTGACGAGATGAACATTGAGATCATCCGCAACACCCTCTACAAGGCATATCTGGAGGCGTTCTACAACTTCTGCAAGAACATGGGCGGCGCCACCGCCGATGTTATGTGCGAGATCCTGGCTGTAAGTAGCCATTCATTTTCTTCCGGGGGTTATTGTATGCGAGATATTTTGATGAAAAAAAACACCGTAACTAATCTATAGATTTGTCGGTTTTAGCTGCGCACATACCTTGTTTTTGGTTCTTAGACAGAAGTTGAATTTAATGAACCACTATAAAAATCAATTGAAGTATTTTTACTTAGGGCACTCAGTAGCACTCTCTAAGTGGTGGTCAAATTCAAACCGTTAAACATTGTTTAGATTTGGTACAGTCATAAATCAAAATGATTTCGTTAAGTTACAAAAAGTTGATATTTATTATTTGGTTACTATAAATAAAACATTAATGTAATTATAACTTAAAATTGCAGTTCGAGGCCGATCGTCGTGCGATCATCATCACCATCAACTCCTTCGGCACGGAGCTGTCCAAGGACGACCGCGCCAAGCTGTATCCCAACTGCGGCAAGATGTACCCCGATGGCCTGGCTGCTCTGGCTCGTGCCGACGACTACGAGCAGGTGAAGACCGTGGCCGAGTATTACGCAGAGTACGCCGCCCTGTTCGACGGATCCGGCAACAATCCCGGCGACAAGACGCTTGAGGACAAGTTCTTCGAGCACGAGGTCAAGCTGAACGTGTACGCCTTCTTGCAGCAGTTCCACTTCGGAGTCTTCTACGCGTACCTCAAGCTCAAGGAGCAGGAGTGCCGCAACATCGTCTGGATTGCCGAGTGCGTCGCCCAGAAGCATCGTGCAAAGATCGACAACTACATACCCATCTTCTAAGCGCGCGAGAGCCGATGGCTAATCATTTGGCATACAAATAATATTATACGTTTTTTTTTCCTGCCTTTTTCGATATGCGTTTTTTTTTTGTTTGTCCCCATACCCTTGTTATTCAATTGTTTAATGTATATTATATTATGATACTGTGTCTGTATGTTTGTATGTAGTTTTGTTTGCTAGTATTATTGCCGGCCCAGGCAAATTTTTGTCAAGTGTTCAGACCCAGACCCAAAACATTAAAGCCAAATTTCTCCGATTCCGCCGCTCCTCGCTCCTCCCCCGATTGTTGTCAGCATTGGCCCCAATAGATAACTATATAATATGTATTCGGGAGACCCCTAGTGTCCCTTCAGGGCTTCGTATTTGTGTACATATGTATCATTATCGAACGGAACGAAAACAGTTCAAATTGAATGTAGAGAAAAAGGAAAGCATCAGCACCATATGTTAACTACTATATAGAAAATGCATACTTATACAAAAACTACATATGTGAATGATAAATCAATTATTAAAACATGTTTTCAAACATTCCCTTTAACGGCTCTGTCTAATAACTTATTTATGTGCATTTCCCTTAAGCAGGCGGAACTTTGTTTCAATTCGCTTGTAGAGAGTCTTGTAAAATGCAGCCCGTGAATTTCTGCATGTTCAAAATGCATTAGTATAGCCAAAACCCAGTTAGTTGGCAGTGAAGCGACCGACTCTGATACCAACTTTCTTGTTTGTTTTTGCATAATCTATAAACATTTTTCTTCAAATTTTACTTTAATATATATTTTCTCTTAGTCTGGAAGTCTCTTGGCTGCTTCATTAGACAAAGCTGAAGATGTCATTCGATTGGACAAATAATCACGGGTCGTTAGAGGGTTACATAAAAATTGGATAAGACGTCAAACCAGTTTTTGGGCATCGAATGATATGAAGTTTGCTGCCGTAGAAAGCTTTACTTTACTCACACCTACTGCCCCTTAAAAAATGTTTCTGTTTAAATTTTATAGATGCTTTTCAGCAGGATGAATATTTAGTTTCTTTTACATATTTTTTGATGTCTTTGACTTGAAGCTGTTCATTTTCGAAAAATGTGTGATAAACATACATATATCTTGCGTTGTGAGATATAAATTAGTTGTAAGTCAGTATGAGGGTATATTAGCAAACTTTCTTGATGTTTTATTGTAACATATTTATATGATTCTTAGAGGAAGTACCAGTACTTACTATAATTTCCAGATCTAGGTGGAAATCCCTCTTAGTCACTTATTAAAGTCTCAAAGCTGAATGATTTATGATGACTGGCTGTGTCAGATTCTCTTTATATATTTTACACCATTCAATAAGAAGGCAAATGGAACTGATCTCGCTAAAACTTGGAATTTAGCATGCATAAAGCCTCAATCACGTAGGTTTGTGAGGAGTGTCCAAGGATGTCGATAACGAAAGATATTCTTTGTCTGTTGGCGGAGTTCAAGGTTTCCATACTCTCAGGGTGTGTCCACTGCAGTATTACTCATCGGGGGATCTTACACCTAGACAAAGGAGTCTTCATTCGTAATCCATCAGCATATTCATGAAAAAGTAACCAACTTGACACTAGGAAGAGGAAGAGCCACTGCGTGCACACAGAATAAAAATCCGTAAAATGTTATATTAAGTAAAATGTAAAGCAAAATATTTTGGATAGATTTTCTAATTTTTTAAATTTATGGCTCAATTTTTTAATTACATATCTGCATTAGAAATTCGTAGTTTATTAATCTTTATGTTTGTTGCCAATTTTATTATGTAAATTTATATATTTCCGGAAAACGTCTGTTCAAAAAGTGTCCACTTCTGGGCACATAACTTCACCTCATGATATCGGATTATGGGGTTTTATACCTTTTAAAGTTTGTTGTTTGATTCTCTATAAATCTGCATTAAAACTTTGTTTTTAAATTTTGGACAGTTTGTTAACTATTTTAATGATGTTACTACTCATAAAAATTCAAAAAATGGATCAGAAATTGTAGATTGTTTTTATTAGTACTTAACTAGCCGAGATCCGGAAGGTATAACATTCATTGCAATGACTGGTTTTAACCATCTTGTATACTGAAGTTGGGGTTTGATGATCATTTGGTTACCTTTTTTTGTAGACTCTAAGCCTTTTTCTTTCTGTGTGTTGTGTCGTGGGTTAATTGCATGCAGCGGGCTACGTGCTACGTGCCCATAGATCGGCGCACTACCGTTAGGCCTGGCCACAGCTTTTGGATGTTGGCCTAGTGCGTACTCTATGGAGCAGGTGCCGGCGACGAGCGAACGAACCTCCGCCAAAGAGCCCCGAACACGTTCGATGCGAAAAGAAAGCTGCTGTTGTTGGTTCGATCAGCTGGGGGCCCCAACCCGTGGAATCGCCCATAACTCGGCCTGGTGGCTCCAAGTCCGCGCAGTCGAGTTCCGCGTCCCCGAGCGTTGAGTTCAGTCTTATAAAGAGCAGCAGCATTTCCTGGCTAAGCGGGAAAATCAACCATCTACTACCATACCATACCATCTACCATCACGCGCGCCAAGTTCAAATCATACTCTATTTTTTTTTTACACGGAGTGCTATAGTTTTTTTTGTGTTCCAAGTGCAATACGGAAGTGTGTTTTGGCAGCAGCTATACATTTATATAGCCCACAGGATACCAGGATACCAAACTCATAGGTAAAGATATACGAAAAGGTGAAATGCGGTCGACACTTAAGTGGGCCAATAATGATGAGCACTGAGCACTGAGCAGTGGAGTTGGAAAAACCAAAGCCAAAGAGGCAATTGCACGTAAAAGTGGCCAGTCGTCGGTCGACAGTCGTCAGTCGGTGTGGAATTGTGTCAACCAGTTTGGCCCCCACTATATCCCCTCGAAGACCCGCCGCTCCTAACTCTCCAGATCTCCATCTACGTAGCTGGCCATCCGCTTCTGTTTGCGCCGTTGTGCGTTCTTCTTTTCCTTGTCATTAACTTATTTGAATTTGGCAAAACAAAAGAAACGCGTCGAGCGTTCGTTCGAGTTCTTCGTTTTACTTTCTACAACCCATACGCCATCGCCATCACCATTACCATCACCGTCGCATTCTTCGCTGTCCAATGTCCGCTGTCCAAAGTCTCAGGTGCTGGAAAGTGGAACTGTCCGTCTGTCTGAGACCAACTTTTGGCTCAGGTGGCTGGCTTTTGGGCAAGAAATTCGCGGATGCTGGGGGCCTAATTGATGATCAAGGCCAGCTCCCAAAAACCATTCAAAAAGCCAACCATTTTTCCAAGAAAATTGTTGTATTATGACAGAATTAGTTACTTCCTAAAAAAAAATAGCACGTTTTATAAATTTTTTTCAGTAATTTCTTTATAAAAAAGCGCCTTATTATATAGATATGAAAAGAGTTTTAAAATAATTCGAAACTTTATTATTTATATCTTATATTGATTATCTTCACTTATTATCCCCTTAAATATCTAAAAAAAATTTTCAAAGGTATATTACTTTTTAATTAGCCTTACATTAAACAGTTGTTATTTTCGATTTAATCGACAACAAAAATAAAAAATATATTTTGAAGAACTCTAAAATTGTATATTTATAATCTTTGACAAACAATGTTCTTAATATTTTATAGCCAAAAAAGGAGTTAGGAGTTTCAAAATAGTTATTCTTAAAAACCACTGAAAGTCAGCACTATAAAAAATTTAAAAATTTAAGGAAATATATTTTCTTAAAAATTAAGACTAACTAAAGCCAAAGTTTAATTTCATCTTAACAAATTCCAATGCAATACCAGCATTAACCATTAGCTCTTTGGGCCTTTGTGTCGATCTAAGCGCTGAAATCCAAGGTTTCCCAGCTCAAAGCGGGCTAATTTTCTGGTCCATCGGATCAGCCTCGACCGGAAATATCCCCCCCGCCTTCCATGTATTTTTTTTTGAGCCCCCACCCACGCCCATGGCAAACAGAAAATTTCACCGTTGACTGCATTAAAGAACTTAACCTTAATTTTGGCATAGGTCTCTCGACATGGCCATCATTATTATGGTAACTTTGATTTTTACCTCCTCTTCGCTTTGTGTTGTTGCTATTGTTGTTGCCCACCGATTTCACCCACACACAGGCAGAAGAAAGTGGTAAGCACACACACACACACGCGGAGGGCCAAGAAAAAAATACAAATCAAGCAGAAATCTCACAGCAGCCGAAAAAAAAACAAAAATCAAAACAAAGGCCGAACAAAAATTATGCAAATTTCTTTGGGCTTGTACGAGTGTGTGTGTATATGGGGTTATATAAACCAAACCGAAGGATGTAAAAGTCTGACAAACTGTTTAGCATAATCGAAGCGCGCTGGTTTCGTAATCACCGAGCGTGGATTAGAAGCGCAGATGCCATGGCATCGAAAAAAAAAGAAAAAAAAAAATACCATTATAATGGGCAAACGAGGCGAGATAAGGAATCCCGAAAAAAAATCAAAATCAAAAGAAATTTTTTTTCGGAATTTTTGCATCACTCGTACACTTTCGCTGTCTCACTGAATAATTAACAGTTCGATTTCGATTTCGATGAGTGAACCCCCCCCAACTCCTCGTCCAAAACAAAAACAGATTGTGTTATGATAATTTCCGATAAAAGAAAAAAAAACACTACACACTGTCTCACTTTCTATTTTCCTATGCGTTTAATAATTAATTAATGCTAATAACTTTTCACAACCGTTATAATTTATTGACAAAATTCGAAAATGTTCGAAAACAAACAAAAAAGTAGGAGTGAGGAGAGGGCACTCACACGTGGGCTTTTTTTATATATATTTTATTCGGCCCGTTTCCAAATGCCATATGCAAATGAAGCCCCGAAATTGGACTTTCGAGAGGCGCGATTACGTATTGGAATTTTTGGCCGGCCTCTGGTGAAATTTTAAGGAAGTTAGTGCACCATCACAATGCAGTTTCCATGGCCAGACATGAAGAAATGCCTGCCAAAGCGCATCTATAGTGGGTACATTGGGTACAGTGGGTCCTCCCTACATTACACATAGTACTTCATAAACTAGAGAATCAATATTATTTAAGCAAAATAACAAGCTACATATGTATAGCCACCCAAAAGCAAGGATTTATAAAGATTGAAAGCGGCTTTTGAGAACTTGCTTATTATTTTTTAATTAGCTAAAAACAAAAAGCTAAAAAAAACAAGATTTTTTTTTTTTTATAAGAGGTTTCTATTGGTTAAAATTTATCTTTTTAAGCTATCAAATGAAACTATTTAAAGTACAGCCCTTTAGTTAGTTGATCGAATAGAAATCATTCAAAACGGTTCTCTGAAAAGTGCAAACTTTATTGGTTTCAACGTAAGAGAATCCCAACTGTGCGCCTGCCTATTGAATCTTAACCAAGTTATGGCCAAGCTACCACCTATTGTCATTGGTATTGGTATTGGCCGCTGCGAACACATATTGGTATTGCCAATGCCACTGGCATTATTACGAGCATTTGTTCTCGGACTGGAATCGAATTGAGGCTTCGGCTACAACAACAGCTACAGCCGTATTTAGTCGCACACTTTCTTTACCCAAATAGCCACCAACTGGGTCACAAATGGTGTTTGTGGTTCCACCCAAGCGGAAGGTCATCAATGGAATGTCCAGATACCACCTATCACGCTGTGAGCCACGTACCAAATACACGCATATACAGCATATACATATTCGGTATGAAAGAGGGCCCAAAATAAGGAGGCGGTGCCCAGAAAAATGAAAGTGGAACAGAGTGTGGCCATGGAGCATGGAGCAGGTTCAGCTGGTCGAGATTTTCAGATTTCTGGATTTCTGTATTTTATTTACCGTTCGCAGACAAATGATGGACATGGAAGTGGGAATGATGTAAGGAAATGGGCACCATTAGAATGGATGGGCAAGAAACGCAGATAATTCTCGGTAATAAGCCAGTTATGGAAGAGTAGATTACCATCATTCCATGTGGACAAAGCATTTTTCGCTGAGGGGAATCCATTCACATTGCACAAACTGACGTTTGAATAAAATGTGAAATATGATAATACATGCTGTGAATGAAGCTGGTGGCGGGAAAAACAATACGGCACATAGTGTGGTTATTTGGCTAGTAGTCGATAAATTCGGACTTTAGTTCGCGGAATTTAATTACTTAACGCAAGTTACGTAAGAAAATATACAAGAACACAATGCTATGCACAGCTACTATATAAAAAAGTTCAGAAACAAAATACAAACTCAATTAGGTTCCAAATGAATGTTTCAAATCAATGTTTTATAATTCTTTCTCTGTTCTTTGATGTTTATTACATTGTTTTCCTTTGTATATTTCGGGATTAAAGCAATGACATCTCTACAGCGAAATATCATCTTATGAATTTCAAATTTTAAGCTTAAGATGAATACATATCTTCCAGTTAGAATGTCTTGGCCCCACCCAACTCCTGGCTCAACCGTTATACAAATTTATCTTTAAATAGTTCTGCTCTTGGCCTAAACCTTTCGGGTTTCTCCGCCAGTTGAGCTCCAGTTAAGAGCCGCTAATTGATTTGGACATCTTGGAGCGCTCCGAAATTTCCCCCCTGCCGCCAAGCACTTGAGGTAAATGAGTCAATAGCTGAAATTTCACTTTGCCATCGGTGACTCCCCCTGCCACCCAAAAAATAAGAAAAAAAAAACAAAAAAGATATAAGTTTGAGTTGGCAACGAGCTCCAACTTGTTGGCTCTTTGGAAATGAATGAATTTCGGAGTGGTCGGCTTGGTAAATGCGGGCTATTCTAATGTGGCTAACCCAATTCGTCAATTAAATAACTTTGCAGCGAGATTTCACTCTCGTTTTCTTTTTGTCTCTTCGCAGTCTGTTGTTATACTCGGTTTTTTAGTTTTCAAAGCCATTGATTTTCGCTGGTAATTTGTTTACTTTGCATTTGGATGAGGGCAGCCAGAGATGAAAACGAAGCGAGGAGCAAAAGAAGTGAAAGAAATTATGTCAATATTTATTTAAATTCATTTCTTTTGCAAAATACGAGGCGGCCGAAAAAAAGAGAAGGAAGAATGCGGTGAAATTTAATCGCTGGCCACTTGAAAGCGATTTCCGAGCTGTTGACTTTTCGAATACCTCTCGGTTTCTGTTCCCACCTTCCTCAACCGCTCCACTTTGATTTCGATTTCGATTTCGAATTCCGACTCGGATTCTGCCTACGCAGAGGAAATTAAAACGAATTGCCTCTGTTCTCGTTTTTGTATTTATTGAACATGAATAGTTTGGTTTGTTATGCCCAATCACAGATATTTTATGGATTAAAAATATGAAAAATTAAAAGTCGTATTATTTCATTAGTAGGTTCACTTAAAAAACACATATTTAAAGTTTTGAATTAATGGTTGTCTAAAATTTAGATTTCTTGATTAGTTTATTTTTTGATAAAGCTGAAGAAGGTACGTTTATTATCTATGCTTTATTGTTTTGAAAAAACAGTTGGGTTTTCCATAGTTTAAATAATAATGTTGTATGTTAGCCTTATTGATTTCGATTTACCACCTTCTTTGCAGTTCCGCGACAAGATGACTAGTTCGAGGAACATCCTGCTGATGCTGCTCCTGGTGGCCAGTGCCTGCCTCGTCCATTTGGAGGCCAAGACCGTCTTCCGGCGCACGGACAAGATATCGGAGAACTTCAAGCAGTTGGATCTGCCGCCCGAGGAGATTGACCCGAATGTGGCGCCCCCAGAATCCGAACCGCCCAAGGTGGAGGATGTGGCGGAGGAGGTGGTGGCCGATGCAGTGACTCCGGCCTCTGTGATCGACGAGAGTGCCAATGAGATTGCCAGCGGAGATGTGGAGACGCCGAATGCGGCCGTGGCCTCCGTTCCCGAGGTTGCCGAGGCTGTTGAGGCTGCCGTTCCAGAAGCCCCCTGCTCCGGTGGCCACCACCTTGGCCGCCAAGCCCAAGCCCACCGCTGCTCCGACCACCGCCAAGCCGGAGAATCCCATCAGCAAGTACTGCAAGTGCACGGAGTCGCATTGCGACTGCTGCCGGAAGTTTGGACTGCCGTTGCTGCCCAGCGGACAGGGCTGTGCCAAGATTGCCTACTTGGGCAACGACGAGATGAGCGTGTCCCTGAAGTACGGCGACATCACCTTGGCCTCCCGTCGCATCTCCAGCAAGCGTTCCCGTCCCATTTGCGTCGGCCTGCCGGGCGGCTACTCCAAGTTCTGCGGCAAGGTCTACGGTCTGTCCCGCTCCAAGGACGCCAAGGACTTCAAGGCCTGCTTGGCCTTCGAGCTGCGTGCCGACGACGAGGTGGAGGCCTCCCTGCGCGTCTCCTGCTTCAAGTTCGGTCCGGAAGGACTCCGTGTGGCCGAGGCGGAGCCACTGCCCGTGAAGCCCAGCTCGGATGACGATGATGACGACGACGATGACATCTTCGGATTTGCCGGTAAGCGGGGGCACCCAATGTACAATTTTACTACCCTAAGGGACAATCTTATAATACTTATATTTACTTAATTGGAGTTTTTGTTTGCAAGCTAAAATGTCGGAGCGCAAGTCGATTCTAAGCATTTACCCTTTAACTACGTATGCGCAATTTTATGCTTGTGATATTGCGTATTCGACTAGTGGTACAGCATCTAATTGACAACTTTGTTTTAGTTAAGGCTGTTTTAACAATGCATTGCAATTGGCTTAATACTTACCAAATCAGGGCATTTTTACATTATTCCATAGCAGAAGTTTTCGAATGAAAGTCTTTAAAACCAAATTATAAGCGCTAATAAAATGTAACCAAAATGTGGGAAGTAATCAGGAAAAACTGCTAACTAAATAACTTTAAATTTTAAATGAATCAAATTTTTTTAAACTTTTTTTTTATTACCAACATAATTTCTGTCATGTTATTTTTTTTCTATATTTTAACTTAACCAAATAATAACCTTTTCCCATGTCAATCCATTTTGCAGCTGGTGGTGACGACGATGAGGATGAGGAGGATGACTATGACAGCGACAACGATGCGGATGCGGATACCGATGACGACGACGACACCGAGGATTATGCCGACGATGATGAGGCCGAGGCGCCCGAGGATGCCGACTACGGTGGTTTCAGCCTGGCTGGACTGCTCGACGAACTGGATGATGATGAGGACGAAAAGCCGGTGAAGAAGCCAGCGGCTGTGGCCGCCGTGGATGAGACCCGCGAACATGTGGCTGCCGATGGGCAAACGACCTCCACATCGCAATCGCAATCGACATCGACCAACGAACAGGTGCAGAGCAAGGACGATTCAGGAGCTCCGGCCGCTGGCGATGCTGCTGCTAATGCTGCTCCTGCCGCCGTCGATGGAGATGTGGTGACCCCGTCACCCGCCACCGATGACGACTCCACCACGCCCAAGTCCAAAAAGTCGAAGAAGGCGAAAAAGAACAAGAAGAAGAAGGCCGCCGCCGAGGCGACGGATGAGACAGGATTCGCCTATGAGCTGCTCAACGGCATCCTGGATTTTTTCAACTGAGCGGCCAGCGCGAGTTTGCCAACATGCTGGGCAACAGTGTAAATACCTTGTACCGCCGCAGCTGGCCGTCGGAGAATTAGAGTTAAGCACTACTTAAGGGTCCCCCTCTGAAAATTGCACTTATTTATTTCCTATTTATTCGATCCATTAATTTATTTTAAATTTATAACGAATAAAAGTCGAAAATGTACTACCCATACAATACGCTAGTTATCGGTTACGGTTTCGGTTTCGTTTTCGTTTTCGTTTGCAAAATACCTCATACTCTCGAGCTTCATTTACATCTAAATCGGAATGCACCGGCCTTTTTTGGTTTTTGCAGTACCACAACGACTAGCACACGCACATTTTGCGGCCAAATTTCTGATTTGATTGAGGTTGGTGCACAGTCTCTACTGTTTTTGCTCGAGCTGCAATTTTTCCCAGCATGGGCCCTCCACTTTGATTAGAATTTATTTGCATTAAAATTGCAGCTGCATTCTGAATTTGCCGCAGGCCGACTAAAGTTGTTAAGAAAAATATGTCTTGGCCAGAACTTGAACTCACCACAAATCAAAAAGGGTTACAAAAAATTATCAGTGACTGAAACAGATAACAGATGGTATTTAAAATAAATAATAAGTCTGCTGATCTTATAAAATCTGTTATCTTAAGCCCTTTATTCCACACTTTAAACTTAGCAGCCCTCATAATCATTTCAATGGTCTTTGTCCATGCATATTAATTAACTTTGTCTTAATTGAAAGTACATTTACTCCTTTTCCTAATCCCTAAAAACTTACCTTACGGATGACTCCTGCTTTTTACTTTCGTTTGCTATACTATAAATGTCCTTAAAGGAGGGCAACCATCGAAGCAGCATAATTAATGTTCCACCCAGCCATCTTAGTTTCTTTTTGCTCCCCGGAATTCCCGGCATTCATGGCATTTTGATTAGTCATTTATGGGGGCCACTTTCGCCTTTCGTCCCTTCCCAGGACTTCGAAGCCGGGAATCCCGACTGAGCCGCAGAAAACAACATTTTTGGAGGTCGTAGAGGAGCTGCGTTGATTAAGTGCCGGACCATTTGTCAAATTCCGGATGGAGTAACTTTTAATTGGAAACTATGCGTTGCAGTTATGTGGCGAGGTGTGATGGATACTGTCCTCGGAGGACACCACGAATCCTTGGGATTAATTAGCCGGGAACAGCCTGCCAAAGATTGCCCCACTTCCCATTGAAATACTTGGTGGGGTTAATGCAGATATAAGCTGTAATTGAATGTACACATAGAGTAAAATATTTATTGATGGTAAAAAGTGACCATTCAATTTGATTGAACGTTTATTTCACAAAAAAAATTAAGAATTACAAATGCGTTTATGCATGCGTACTAAATTGTGGTTTGCTATATTTATCCACTTGGAACCTTCTTTGCCTTTGCTTACCTAAATCAATTGCTTTGCTCGGAATCTTTTAAATCACATGAAAATAATTCGGGAAAGAGCAAATTGTCGTTCAATATAAGTAGGTATATATATATATATATGTATATATGTAATTATGGGTACTACGCATATGGGTACTACGGGAAAACTTACAGGCTAGAGTCTTCTTGCACACCAACACATATATAAATGTTAATAAATGTTTAACGTACATCAAAAAATTGTATTTATCGTGTATATTCGTGTATAATAGAATCAACTACAGTATCTTTTGATTTGTAAACAATTTTGTAAGACAAAAAAGTGAATTCTCTGCTGGGTTAAAATTCAAATGTTTTTCTCTTGCTTCTTGATTTGATTCGAACGGAGTGAAATTGGGATGGTCAAACTATAAAAAGCAGAAAGGTAGTAGACTCCAGTTTCTCTTCTGTAACTAAACCTCCGTTCGCGTATCACATTCAAATGATATATAAGAACAAGTTAAACATTAGTCGAATGGATTCCCATAAAAATGCCGCTGAACTTGTCCGAAATTCGTATAAAGTTTGGTTCAACTTAACTTATCGCACCCAAATGGCACGGAGTAAAACTTGTGTGTAAATATTCCATCGTATATATTTTGTATACATATATGTATAATAGGGGTATATAATCCATACAAGATATATTTTTATATAAGTAGTTTTGTATATGCAACCCCATCCAAACGATAGGTTCAATAATTTGTAAATCTTAATTTATCGTGTTAGTGAAGCAATGCGAAATGGGTTTGGGGAAATGGAAATTCAGGTTGTCAAGGTTTCTGTTTTTCCCTGACTTTTGGGATGTGTGTATATTTTGTGTGCTGTGTGCGGGAGCAGTAAAATCAGTCTCGATTTTGAAGTAGTAGGTAGTGGATTGAGTACCGAAGTGATTCTGTCCGTTGAGTGTGCCAAGTCTGAGTGTCTTTAGGCCTTTGGATTCTCTCCATCCATCCAGCTTTATGTCCTTCGATTTGCATTCCTCTTTAAATCTCATCCAGCTTATTCCATTTCTAAAGCATCCAGGTCACAGGACTTTAAGTACTTTTTAGTAACGCTGCAGTTATAGTTAAGGTTGTGCATAAAATAACTAAATTGAAAACTTTTAAGAGAGAGTATAGGCCAAGCAATTGTATTGTAAACAAAACAGTTTTGTGGGTGCAAACAATGCGTTCTTAGAAGGTAAAATTAGAATATTAAAGCAATTAAAATGGCCAAAATAGAAGACTGTTATTTGAAACACAGCTGTTAGTATAGTCGTAAAGGGTTAAGTAAGATACATTTGCTGACTTGGTGATAAATCGACGAAAGGGACTTGGATCTTTGTGTGGTGAGTGTTGTATCATATGTGATCGTTTCACTTGCATTCAACGTCCCACCGTAGGTCATTCACAATTCGTTGTTCCGTTCACTTGTAATTATTTGTCCATTTATGGCTTTTCCCTTTTAGTCGGAGTTTGGCCAACTACTTACTTGCCAAAGAAGTCAAATTCTTTTTTTCTTCCCCAAAATACGTCCAACGTCTTTTCGATTTGAGCAATACAATTCTTCATTCTCTGACTGCATTTCAATTGTTTGACGTGAGTATGTGAGTGGCGGGGGGGTGGTGTTGTTTTTTGTAGCTCAGTGTGTTCATTTTTTCAATTTGTTTAAGTTTCTTTTGGTTGACTTTGTTTACCAAAAGTCTTTTGTTGTTGCTGTCGCTTGTGCATACAGCCCAAAAAAATGTGTAAGCTTCTTTGTTCTTTTTTGTTTTCGGTTATTTTAACCTGCCTTTCCCGTTCCATTCAAAACCTACGAAGATATTAACCATCTCAAAAAGAAACACGTAAAGTATATGTTAATTACCTAATTGGGCTACAGTCAATTAAAAGTAAATAAACGGGTATGTTGAATGTTTTCCTGGAAAGAATGTGCCAAAGTGAAAAATAAAACAATTAAAGATTGTAAAGTAAATGTTTCCTTGAAATAAATATTACAATTTCGATTGACAAACAATAAAATTATAGCCATTGTGTTTTTTAAATCATGATTAACTGACTTAATTTATAATAATAAATCCTTTCTTTTAAATTTTCCTTTTCCCAAAGAACCTTTTTTATCCGTAGCCTGCAAATGTGTTAGCCGTGAAGCAATTTCCACGACCACTCTTCTGCATCCATATTTTCATGGCATTTTTTTTTTAGATCTGCCACAGTATTGCAGGCTTTGGTTAAGCTCATTATGGTTTTTACTCGACTGCTTTGAGTTCCAGCGACCGCCGGAATTAAAAAGGGAGGCAGGTTAACTTTGGGGGCGTGGAGGTTATTTTACCATTCTAACATGCCCTCAACGACTTAAACTGATATAAATAGTTGTGATTTTCCATTGATTTTGCTTTATGCTATCGCTTGATACATTAATAAGTTGGTAATATTGAATATTGTGTGTGTTGTTTGCAGCCCAGGTCTGGCCAATTATACTCCTCTTTCTTAATTCTTTTCATTGTTTTGGATTCCTTTATATAGTGCTTACATTTATGTGATGCACTCATTTTACAAGTTTTCTTTGTTTGACTTTGTCCGTAACATTGTCTCATATATTTCACTGTAGTTGAAGGTTTTTTACCAACTAAGCTAATACATATTATGAGGAACCCAAAAAAAAAATACACAAGGATTTCGCACTCGGGTTGACCTGGTACACATCAATTATGTTTTTTTTTTTGCATCTAAGCTTTTGTTCTGTATTTGTGTTTGTAGTGCTGAAGACTTTTTGTTTTTTTTTTCGGTATTCTTTAACCACACAACATTTAGAAGTGTAAAATAATTATATGTTCTTTGATTAAAAGCGCTTCAAAAAATTTGTTATTTATCAATCGCGCTAGACAAATATGTTTTTAATATAGCGTAGTTCAGCAATAGCCAAACGAGCAGTTTTTAAAACGGTGCAAATTCTACAAAAAGCTCTCACATTGCATTTATAGTTAGTTAATTAAGGTTAGGTAATTAAGGTAAATTGAACATATTGAAAAAACCATATATTCCTACAATAATGGAAGGTTCTTAAAAGAATCAATTATAAGACTATCACAAAGAAATACAAATCTAAAAGAATCTATTTTAATGTTTTAATGTATCCAACATTGTAAAAGGAGTTCTTTGTTTAAATATTTGAGCATTTAAGCTGGACCGTTGGCGACATGAAATCGAATTTCATTAAAAAGCGCGCCGGCATAAAAAAGGTTGTAAAGTTTGCAATTCTGTGGAGCAATTTGCACTGCTCTTTTTGTTTGTTTGATTTTTTTTGTTTGTTTTCTTTGCCAGTATTTATTTTTTTTATTCGTATGCTTGACTTGGTGTCAAGAAAAAAAATCGTTTCCATTTTATGCACGGTTCTTACACATTTGTTGCTACCTTTTCATGTTCAGCTATTCTTGATTAAATGAAGTCCATTCTTTACATATTTGAAACTCGCCAGAAACCACGCGTTCAATTATGACAAGAAACCACGAAAAAAACGCAATAACAAAATAAAGTGTATGTAATTTGATGTCATATCTCTTTATATATTGCCTTTGCAGTTTTTTACTGTTTCTACATAGTGTGTGTGCCACTTAAATTAAGCCCCAGTTGTTTTGTTGATCCTTTTTGCTGCATTATTTAATTTTTTGGCGGATAAGATTTAGTTTGCTTAAATCGTGGATATAGCCGTTGTTTTTTTTTTTTGGATTTTTGACTTTGTAAATTTGTTCATCAATATATTTTGTCAAAAGAAAATTATTGTCCGCAATTGCAGCGCCACCTACCGGTTGTGAGGGGTGGGTTTTTTTTTCTGTTTTTCTTTTTTTCTTTTTTTGTTGATCCGGTGATAAGTTTCTCTTTAGTTTGAGGGTCCTACGGAATTCTCTAGAGAGAAATCACTTAAAAAAGTGTCCAAAAGTGGTCTACGATATACTTTTTATTCGAAAGTCGCAAGTATAACTAACGAAGGACGATGTTCTGTTATTTAAAGCATACTTTTTGACAGCTTCTTAAGTGATTGTAAAACTCTTGAGATTTCGTTGCCAATAGCTCTTGCGTTTGTAAAATGGGATTTTCTAGAGATGTAAAATTACTTAGAATGGTGGATAAATGCCGAAAGACGGCGTTCTAGTTTCCTTAGGCCACCTTATTAAGTGATTTGAAAACTCTAGAGTTTGTCTTGGCAAAAAGCGTTTGCTCTAAATATTGGTAGCATTTGCTTGTTGCCATCTAAATGTGCAAAATCTAGACCGCTGATCGTTTCAACGGCTGATGTCCCTGTATTTTTCGTGGTACATTAAATGGGACTGAAAAATTCCTCATGATCTAACGACGTCCTCTAAACCCTGCACTCCCTGCACTTCCGTGCTCCAATCCATCTCGGTTTGCGCTGCTGCTGTTTGTTTGTGCCTGCTCTCCTGGTACTCCGGTTCTCCTTGAATCACTCCTCCTGCTCCTCTTGTGTCTTCCCTTCTATATACATTCAGTCTATACTTCCTACTCCCAATACTTGCTCCTCCCGGCCGCTTAAATCACGAAGAGATCGCTGCAGCTGGAGGAGTTGCGGCGCTTCAGGCTGATGGACTTCTTGAACCGCAGCACCGACGAGATGAATACCTTGGTGCGGGCGGTCAACTTCTTGACCACCTTGCGATTGCAGGTGCCCCGCCGTCCCTCGAACTCCGCTCCTCCACCTCCTCCGCCACCTTCTCCCTCCTCATCCTCGCCATCGTCCGCCAAACCGCCGATCCTATCCTCCTCCGCCGCCATCCCCTGCTGCCGTTGCTCCAACAGCAAGTCATCCTGGGCGCGGAGTTGATACCGCCGCTGCAGCTCGGCGGCGGCATCCGCTGCCGCAGATGTGGTAACGCCGCCGTCGAACGAGCGACGCTTGCGAAACGGACGCCGATGACGAATAGTGGCCGCGAGCATATTGAATTTGCTGAGCTGGACGGACTGCGTCGACTTCGGGACATCCTCGTCCTCGTCGACTTCGCTTTCGCCCATCTTCAGTATGCTCTCCAAATTCAAGGGCTTGCGATTGGGATTCTCGATGCGCGATCGACTCGAGCTCGATGTACCCGGCACTCCGTCCGGATCGTTGGCGTCGCCGTTCGGCAATTGCTCCTGCAATCCGCCATCGAAGATCTCCTCGTCGCCCTGACACATGCTCATCTGGCGCACCATGCGACGTGATTGCAAGTGCATGCCACGATGCTTCTGAATGGTACTCTGCAGATTTAAACGCTGCAACTCCAACTCCGTTAGCAATCGCAATCGCTGCGGATTGAGCTTCACCTGGGCCACAATCCCAACCAGCAACTCGTCCACATTGTGATCCAATCCAGACGAGGTCTCGATGAACTTGCAAGCGATATCCTTGGCCACCTTGCGACCCACTGGAAATGCGGGAGTTAGCGGGAAAGGGGTAGAAAAGTTGAGAAAAGGTGTGAGACCATAAAAAAATATATTTATGTAACTGCTAGCAAAAACAAACACCTTGCTATTTATGTAAGTGTAGTTAGTAAAAACAAACCCCTTGAAAAAAATAGCTCTTATTATTTTATTTTTCGGGTTTTTAATCAAAACTCTGGGATATAGTGGTCGAAAGTTGGAATATCATACCTTGTTCGATTCGTTATAAAATTTCTAATCAAACGTATAGTCAGAAAAAGAATATCGTTAAAATAGATTTGTCGGAAAAAATCATGAAATATGTTTTGCCAAAATCCGCTCGATTTTTTTTTAATCAAAACCTCGAGAAATAGTGGTCGAAAGTTGGAATGTCATACCTCATTCAATTCGTTATAAAATTTTAAAAAAAGTTTTATCCTCAGAAAGTTTTTTTTAAAAATGTATACTTCTTGCAGTATATTTTTTTGCGATTGCCAAAAAACCATTTGTTTTTGTGGCTGAATGAAGAGGAAGTATATATGAAACTAGAGACTACTTACTTTGACGGGTGATAACGCGGTGCCGCTGCAGATCCGTTTTGTTGGCCACCAAAATAGCTCCGCGGGACAAGAGCATCTCGTTCTCCTTGAGATACTGCAGTACACGTTCGGCTGCTGCGAAAGTATTTCGATCTATCACCGAATAGACCACCACGAAGAGGTCGATGTTGTAGGTGGCACAAAAAGCCTCCGTCTGAAGGGCGGACCAAATGTGGTGGGGAAAAAACAAAAAGACGGAGATGAGCCATATGGTGCAGAAAAGTAGGCTACAACAAAATCGTTCTAATGAAATTTCCAAGCGGGGAGGTGGGGGGGGTTTGGGTGGAAAATGGGTGGTAAGAGGCAAGGGGGGGTGGGTAAAAAACCAGCCACCCATTCGAGGATGAGCCTGGCCCCCAAAGTCATGTTAAACGCTTGGCTGAGCGCCTTCCACAGCTGAGACAACTGACCTTGGTCAGATTAAGGACTTAAAGCGAGGAGCAAGTCAACACAATTTAGCGGGCCGAATATATTAAATGTTACCTGTGAGGCAGCTGCAATCACAATTGTTAAATATCGACATAGAAAATATTAAATGCTTCAACAAATCAGCTTTAATCAGTATGCTTTTGGTTTTTATGTATCTTATTAGTTACTCAATCCCTTCTAAATATTATATATATTTTCTAAAACCATTTGAAACAACTGTTTTACCAATTTCCCAAAACTAAAACTTTAGAAATTATTGTAGATAGTTTGTAGTACAAAATGTTGGTGTACACTTAAATTCACATAGAGAGAATAAAATTGTTAATGTCAAAGCTCTGAAGCAGCCCCTTTAAAGATTGACCCAGTGAAATAATTTTAAAATACTCCATGTTAAAATACGGTTACACATATGTTTCTAGTAGGTTTCACATTTACAAGTAATAAATCAAACTAAAGTTGGTCATTGGTTGGATATTTACAACCAGCTTTAAAATAAGTATACGCAAAGTGAAAAGAACATTTAATTAACACTTAATGGGAAACCTGTTTTGCGCAATACCATACCTTAGTGAACCAGACTACACTCATTCCCATCCCAGCACTTTGTTTCTTCTTTAAAGCACAGAAGTGTTAATGACATTTGGCAAATGTGTCAGAGGCAGATGGCTCTTAACCCACAGCTTGACCCACTCAGCCAGACTGCGGGAAAATCGGAAAGTCCCCGGATGAGGAGGGTCTGAACTGGAGAAGGGGGGCAGTTTGCTAGGGGTCGGTCGATGGTGATCCACCACTACTTTCTGGGAGATGCTACCGCTACTTGCTGTGCTTACTCACCGACATCTCGCATGCGGGATGATCAATAATTTCCAAATCCGTTTCAATGTCGTCGACTAGCACCGACACCGTCTTCTGTCCATAATCATCATCTAAAAAAAAGCACACAGCCAACAAAAAGTGAGGGTAGCCTAAATCTTACTAGATTTCGCTAAATCTTACTAGATGATTAGATTTATTAAAAAATTAATTATGAATATATATTATCAAACTACCCAAGCAGCAGTGCATTATTCAAGCGTGTATTTATTCAAAAAAAAAAAGAAGCAAATCCTATATCTCCTATAAAAAACAACGCTGAGTGCTTGGCTCAAAACAATACCAAGTCCCGAAATGCACTTCCAAGGGTCGAAAATCGATCAAATTGCAGCGGAGGCGGCGACAACCTTTGCATGGGCGTTGATGGGCGTGTCGCCCATAAAACCGTAATCAAAGTGATTTTATTTGCCCAGCAAGTTAATGTCGCAATTGACGCTCCCCCTTTTTTCCCCCTCCCTTCACTTCATTGACTCGTTTTTTCAGTCGAGACCATAAAACGTGGAAAAAAGCGGCAGACAGTGTACGTATATGGGGTGAGGGGGTCGGGGTGCAGGGGACGGGGTCTCGGGATCCAGGACTTCGGACTCGTAAAGCCCTTCTACGGCGGTGCACATGGAAAGCGCTACGTCACCACCACACTGCCACAAAAAAATGGAGAAAAGTATATCTTGAAACTGAAAAACAAATAAGACTTTCATACTATAGTATGGTATTATTGTAAAGGTTTTAAATAAGTCATTGCCTTTAAATAAATGTATATTTAAGCGGAAGAAAGATAAACACACTAATTTGACAAATAAATACTATACAAAAATATATTTTTGCCAAGAGGTTATTAGATTCGGAACTTAAAAAAAAGGATTTTAAAAGCTTTAAGCTTTCTAACTAATACAAAGATATGAAAATGTATGCCAACACTGTTTTCCTCAGTGCACTAGCACCGTCCAATACACGCTTTGTCAGCAGTTTGACACGAGCCAACAGGATGGCAGGAGTGCCAGAAAAAGGACGAAAGGAACTGGTAAGGAGTCGCAACGGCAGACAATGACTGCAGTTTGCGTCCAACTCTGTTTGCATTCAGCTGTGGCAAATATTTAGACGCCAGTCGACCCGCATCCAGGAGGCCCAGGAGCTCCATCCCGAAAGCCCCAACCCGATGTCGAAATGACAAAAACCCATATTTCGAGCGGTTCATTTGCATGTTGCAAGTAATTTTCCGTGAGTGGGCGGTTCCGCACAAATTGAATAGAAAACGCTGTTGTACTGCCTTATTTTCCCGTATTTTCTCCTCGGTGTGGGTGTGTGTGTGGATGGGGGTGTGTGTGTTCCAGATGCCTTTTTCCTAATGGGACTGAGTCCTACTTCTCCCAGTTTAGCCGATTAGTCTTGCCATTGACAAGCGGCGAAAGCGAAGTCATCGCAATGCAATTATACAAATGCTTGTGCAAACACAACGCAGGGAACGGAGCTCGGGGAACCCCCCTGATTTTGGTGGGATTACACGTGGGGCGGTTGTGGCTGTCCTTGAAAACAAATCATTTCGAGGGGATCAAAGCGCGTGTGTGGTTTTGTATGGGCTATATTATTAGCCCTAACTAGGCGTGTTGTGGTCTTTGAAATTAGTGAGGATTATTAGATCTTAATGGTTTCGGGTTATTGAATCACTTAAGCAGAAGGGAAACAATTCCAAAACGTAGTTTTGCCAAGTGAGTAGGTAAGTGGGTAATCCCATGAAGTGCACCTTATGCTGAAATATTCTAGTGGCAAGAATCCATCAAGACGAAGCTTGAGAAACGAAAACTGTAGCGATTAAGTATGTGGTACGACTTTAAATGTTAGATGGCAAGTCCTAGCTTATTAGAACAGTCCCTTGACTTAAAAAAACTTAACTAAAATCGTGCGCGAGAAACGCTTGATTGCGTCAGCATAAATTAAACTAAATAGCTTGGGCTATTTTCTAAAATCAGAAACACTTAGATTTACTCAAAGCGGACATGGCATGTAATAAATTTCACATCTGCCTTTTTGGGGGTGTGGTCAAGGCATTTACGCTGCCCACGGATTTTTGTGGTCATGCCATGCTGACGGCCATTAACGAAAGATGGCTAAGAGACGACGCCCACACGCAAAACTTCCCAGCAATTTGCGTGTCCTGCAGGAAGGCATTTGAAATCGGGCAAAGGGAAAAGCCACACACGCAGGGGGCAAGCAGTGCAAGCAGTGCAATCAGTGGACATCCTGCAGCAAGGAAACAGTTGCAAGACGATTCGTCTACGCAAATTCTCGAGAATTGCAAAAAAAAAGCACAAAAATACTCAAACCCACAAACACAACTGTCATAAAATTGCCTTTTTGCCTTTGGGTTAATTAAAACCCACACTTGTATTATCTTGACCACAAGAGCAGAGAATTACTGCGTAAACTCAATGGTAAAACCATTGGCATTTGGGCCTAATCCTGTTTCCAAAAGCCGGTTTTTATGCAGGAAATTGCCATCAGAGGACTAGAAATGACATGTGCACGAAACGCACGCAATCCATAAGGTGCACAGAAAGAAATTATTATGCCATTTAATACCTTTTCAGACACCAATTACGCACCAAAATGTTTAAGTCATATTTTAAAATGTCCTTATTATCGATATGAAATGTATAAAATTTGTTCGAATACCCGAAATCAATACCAACAACTTACAACATGCACTCCAGTTGCAACTGCAATTATCTGTTGCCAATGAAATATTTTAAAATGTCCTTAATATCGATATGAAATGAATAAAATTTGTTCGAATACCCGAAATCAATACCAACAACTTACAACATGCACTCCAGTTGCAACTGCAATTATCTGTTGCCAATGAAATATTGCATTTCGGCAACTTTTCCCCAGATCAAAATACTCAAACTCAGAACTCAGACTCTGACTCAGAACTCAATCCGTTTTTGCTAGAATATCCCAGACCTAATGAATTCAGTGTGGTCCATTAAAGTCCGCTGCTCAAAAGGTAATTCGATAGTGCTGCAATTCAATTAATTCGAAGAAGTGTAAGGTGGAATTTACGCAGGGCGCCGACAGGTGGGTGCATCCTTTCGTCTCCCAATTAATTAAGCCAATTTTCGAGCCACGCACATTTGGCCTTGGCAGGAAAAGGAGTTTTCCTGCTTAAGAAAAGATTATCGATGTGTTGGAGGTTGTAAATACACTATAATTAGTTAAATAAGCATATAAAACCTACTTTTATAGCCCTTTTTTCCATTAGTATTTCAAATATGTATATAGACAAGGTACTACAAATCTAGTAAATCTATTTGTATATGCATTCACAAAGCAGGCTTTATTTTATCCTGTGAAAATATAGTTACAAAAGGAATATTTTCACCCATTTTTTCAGCTTCTTTTAATCGCATTGCCTTCTCACTTATATAAGTGAAAATTCTATTTAAATATGAATACAAATTAAGTAAAGCTAACTAACGTTGATACAAAAATTAAGAAAGACTTTTTACCAAGAAACTATGGAGAACATATCCGGGAAACTTTTCAACCATGTTGATTTGTGTCTAATACGATTTTCTGGACAAGGAAAAAAAGACATTAAGCTGATGTCAGTAAAAATATTCTCCACTTTACTGTGAAAATCCACTTAAAAGCTCCAAAGCGGTTATCAAAAAGTGGGTGGAAGCCGGCATGCCCATATTCTCTAGCTTTTCCCACACTCCACGGACGGTGATATGGTCGCGAAAGTTAATGAAATTAGCGCTGGCGCTTTTCATATTTTATGACTTTGTGCCATAATTAAAATGCAAATGTGTTTGATTAAAAGCCGCATAGTAAGGGAGCAGGGCATGAAAATGGAGAAGCGACTTCATTTTCAATTACTTCGTCTAAATAAATCCTGCGATATCCCCAAAATATAAGTTGGCTCGCCTTCGACCAAATATTGATTTAGTTAATTTGATATTTTGAAATTCTATACAAAGCTTTAAATTGTAACTGATGTAAATCTGTACCAAGTTTAAAACAATAACTTTCCTGAAATGCCATCAATTAAAATACCTTTTAAAGATCCTTTTGTTGTCATAAATTTCCTAGATATAATTAAATCTTGAAAAATATTTTAATGTCTTATGCATACTATGAACGTGCCTATATTACAAATTTGAATAATAAATATGATTAATTCATTTGCATAGTATTTATAAAATTAAATTAGGAACCAGTGAATTTAATAAAATATCAAATATATATATATATTATATGCAAATATTATGATTTAATAAAAAGGATATTAAAAATACCAAAACTACCGTAAAATGTATGTTTTTTTTCTAAAACTTCATACTTTTGAACAAAAGCCCTACAAATGAATTGCTTTATGTGCAGATTATATGTACAAGGGTCTACCAAATTAAATACATTTGCCATAATTGCTTTAGCGGACTTAAGAATCCAAACAAAAATTTGCAATATTCTGATATGCGGACTGTACAATGGGTGCAGGTTAATAAAATGTATTCTTTCGACTGACGGCGTCATCGGTAGCAGGCCTGATAAGTATAGTTTTACATTTGCCAAATTAAAAAATGCCAATTGAAAAAGAGCGGTGTGATAAATAATAAATATCGACTTACCGAGACTCAGGTCGTAGGCGCATATGTAATCGGAAGTGGTGAACTGGTAGGTCAGGGTGGTCTTGCCCACTCCGGAGCCGCCGAGCATGGCAATCTTGTAGGCCGGGACATTCGGATCCCCGTCGATGACTTCGCCCGATGCCCCCGATGCGTTGCTACGAAGACAAAGCCAATAACAACAGTGAGCGAAAGGAACGAGGCACAGTGGGTATCATTGGGATTTGACCAATAACTGATTAATACAAGAAATACCTTCAAAGCTGAGAACACTATAGTACCGACCACCATTATTAAAATTGTTAAAATAGACAATAAGCAATTTTGAATTCATAATTCCTGGTAATACACCATATTGTAATAGGGAAATACAATACTGATTAATTACAAATAGCACACTATCAAAAAATATGTAACATTAGACTGTTAATGCCTGGGACTCACTTAACAAATTTTAAAAAAATACTTGAAACCTGATTAAAATAAATAAATAATAAATGTTTAATATGTTGAAGTGAAAGTTTATAGCTAAAATACCTCTTTTACCCCTTTTTGAGCACAGATATATGTAAAGAAAATTGATACAAAAGATTGACTGTAATCGAACCTTCAAAATGTTAATGTAGACTAGCAATATGAGCCACTGTGCGTGAACGACGGCGTTTCCTTTGACAATGAGATGGAAAACGCCTCGCCATTGTTACCACTCATCTTCATTTTGGGCCCTTACCCTCCATCTGCCGTTGCTAATGGCAGAGGAAATTGTTTGGTGTGGAAATTGTATGAAATTAGTCGGACTATATAGACGTGAAAATGCCGCACGTTTCCCATTGTTGTCGCCATGTGAACTGTCATTTCATAAACAATTTATTGCCAGCCACTTTTGTTCACCGAACAGTGAGCCACTGAACTCACCTATTGTGTCGATCCACGCCGCTGTTTGAAGTGCCCGTGGATGTCACGGAATTGATCGAACGTGACCTGCGGCTTCTGTAGCAAATAAAATAACAAAAAAAGAATGCCAGAGGCTGAAGTAAATATCAGGACTTTAAGAACTTACCTTAGCGAATCGCCCAAGTTGCAAATTCCATGGGAAGTGATGCTGAAGCTGCGCAAACGGTAGTAAGTCATGTCCGGATCGCCGGTATGAATCGCCGAGCGCCGCATTTCGGCCAAACGAGGCTACAAATGATAAATATAAAATTCCAATTTCAAATTAGCACATTGAAAAAAGGTAATTTTTAAATAAATATTATTGAATATTTTTCCTTATTGCTTTTCCATATCATTGAATTTAAATCGCTTTTCAGATATACCATATTTACGTATACGCAATGTTATCTTTAACATTGATGCAACCCTTAGATAGCGTATACGTAATGACAAGCATTTCAAAATTACGCATACGCCACCATGACTTTTCAATTTAATTGCTTTTTCAATTAAATTAATTTTCATATCATTTAAGTGGATATACCTTGATGAAATCATTTTGACTAAAAAATCTACGTACACGCAATGTTAGCTTTAACATCTATGCAACCCTTAGATAGCGTATACGTAATGACAAGCATTTTAAAATTACGCATACGCCACGATGACTTCTCAATAAAATTGCTTAAACGTTTATTTTTCAATTAAATTAATTTTCATATCATTAAAGTGGGGATACCTTGATGAAATCATTTTGCCTAAAAAAAAGGACAAAACTTGACAAACAAATAAATGTCCTTGCACAGAAACCCAATTTGGCCGAATGACAATATTTGATTTCGTTTGAGCGGTCCAACCAGGTGTGAACAAAGCCTTTACCGATGGAAAGCGGAAAACACCAGCTTTAAGAGGACTCCTGCAGCGTTCCGGATCCTGTTCCTGTTCCTGCCAATTGCAGGCCGATGGCCCCCAATGGGCTTACAGCGCACACATATTTGCGGTTGGCCTTTTTTGCCCTTTTGGCCCTTTTGGATGGCACAAAAGTTTCTGCACTTTTTCGGCTGCCTTCAGGGTTTCAGCCTTTCTATTTTATTTTTTTTTCGCCGAAGAAGAGGTGAAGTGTGAATGGATCTGGGACTGCAGTCGACAAGTTTCCTCTTTCGGTTTTGGAGAGCGCCGCACACTTGACACTATTTCGCATTTAATGCTGCCCCCAGACTTCAGACTTTAGACTTCAGACTTGGCCCAATCCCACTCCCAATCCCAATCCCCATCCCAATTCCAATCCCTTTGCTTGCCATTGATTCCGTTTGAAGGTTCTCGCTCACTTTAATTGCAACCAGCGGAGCCCTCTTGCATTGGAATCAATTTCTAGACGGAAAAAATGATGAAAACCTCGGGTCAATGCCCTCAAATGCTCCAGTTTCTTGCCGTTTTTGAGTCCTTCGAGACTGTGGCAGGTGCAACGTAGTTCCAGGTGGCACGTAGTTCGCAGCACGCGTTGCACAATTTTCAGTCGAGCAATTTCACAAACTAATTACATTAGCTGCAGCGACTAGACAAGTGCAAGTCGGCCAAAGAAGCGTGGGAATTATGGCTCCCACTGCCACAATCGCAGCCATAAATCCACGTTAATGACACACAGCCATAGACAAAAATGGAACGACACGACTTTTTAATACCTATTACATTTTTAAAAATTCTTTGATATATATAAAGACTACTTCAATATGCAAATTCTTTAGCTTCGCATTATAGAGTGCAGCAATACCTGTATTTTGTTTAAAAATTATTCTTTAGAAAGGTAGAAATCTATCTATTTTGAGTTTAATACTTTCTTTTACAACGCAAAATACCCTCAAAATCTGAGAATAGCTCCGTAAAGAAGATAGTAAAGGCCAGAGGGTGAGCACTTAGCTTTTCCGCTGATTATGGCGATTTTTCAAATGTGCCAAAGACGATACAGGAAAACACAAGGTGGCACAAGTGGGTTTGGCCACTGGGGGAAAGGTGAAAGTCGGGGCATGATAAGCTGCCAGTCCCGCCCTCCTCCTCCTCCTCATCCTCCCAAAAAACGACTCAGGCAGCCAATGACCCGGGAGCAGAGGGCCAAAAGTAGAACCATGTATCAAATGCTCAGTCATGCTGAATGCTGAAAACTTGGCTCACAACCACACCCATGGAAATACACATCCCCAGATACATGTGTAATCTTTGGTTTCTTCGTCTTGTCTATATCTAGTTTTTCCTCTTGTTGTTGTTTTTTTTTCGGACTAGTGCCACTATTAAGAATATTTCACTGCTGAGTGGAGTGCTAATGGCTGTCCTTAAATGGCTTTTGTTCCCCGGGCCGAGTTTCAATTACTTGTCATCCCATGTCGGTGCGATAATCCCCGTGAGCCTGCTCCTTGAGTTGTCTTAACTGGTTCCCGCGTCGAATGATTAGAATGACTAGGCGGTGGCCAAATTTAGGCAAAAATAAATAGTTTCAATGACGGAACAGTTTTGTGGCAGGCTATGCCAAATTCAACTCGAATATTAAATGCATATGTACTTATATTGCGAAAGTTATTTCCCCTCGCTTATGATTAAATAATGTATGCATTATTTGTAAAAGATATATTTCAAATCATAATCTGTCGAATATATGAATTTTTTAAAGTTTATAAATAAGTTACTATTAAAGCTCTTTTGTTTCCAAAAATATGTTTGTCAGGTAAAGATAAAAATAATAACATTAATCTAATTGAATACATTTCCACTTATTATTTTAGTACCCGTGTTTTTATACCCTTGCAGAGGGTATTATAATTTTGGTCAAAAGTGTGCAACGCAGTGAAGGAGACATCTCCGACCCTATAAAGTATATATATTCTTGATCAGGATCACCTCCTGAGTTGATATAGCCATGTCCGTCTGTCCGTCTGTCCGTCTGTCCGTCTGTCTGTCCGTCTGTCTGTCCGTCTGTCTGTTTCTACGCAAACTAGTCTCTCAGTTTTAAAGATATCGAATTGAAACTTTGCACACACCCTTCTTTCCTTTGCACGCAGTATATAAGTCGGAACGGCCGGGATCGGCCGACTATATCCTATAGCTGCCATATAACTGATTGATCGGAAATGCCATAACTCTGCTGTTTGTTAAGTTAGGAAGTTGCGACTCTCTATGGGTATTAGATTTGGCCAATCAATCCAACATACCAAATTTCATACGGATCGGCCGACTATATCCTATAGCTGCTATATAACTGATTGATCGGAAATGCCATAACTTTGGTGTTTGTTAAGTTAGGAAGTTGGGATTTTCTATGGGTTATATATTTGACCAATTAATCCGACCTACCAAATTTCATAAGGATCGGACGACTATATCCTATAGCTGCCATATAACTGATTGATCGGAAATGCCATAACTTTGGTGCTTGTAGAGTTAGGAAGCTGGGATTTTCTATGGGTTTTATATTTGGCCAATCAATCCGACCTACCAAATGTCATAAGGATCGGCCGACTATATCCTATAGCCGCCATATAACTGATTGATCGAAAATGCCATAACTTTGGTGTTTGTAAAGTTAGGAAGTTGGGATTTTTTATGAGTATTAAGAATGCATCATATGAATAATTTTGGAGAATATAATGTACATAATATTCTGCAAGGGTATATCAACTTCGGCTCCGCCCGAAGTTAGCTTTCCTTTCTTGTTTTTTAATAGAATTATAAAATTAGTTTTTAAAAATATTAATTTTTGTAGCTTCATAGAGACAGAAAAAAAGGTATGATATATTTATATTATATCACTCACCCTGCGACTTTCCGCTGGCATGCTGGAGGTCCTCAAACGCTGTCTGTCGGTCATGGGTTTTCCGGATTGGGAGGCCAGGACCACGGAGGCGGCCAGTTCGGTGATGGCGGTGCCGGAGGTGCTGGCTCCGGAGGACTCTCCCACTCCCCTCTCCCGCTTCATTGGCAAATGGGTGGGCAGATGCTGCTGATCCTGCTGCAGCTGCAACAGTTGTTGCTGCTTCTGCTGCTGCTGCTGTTTGCCCGGGATCATGGAGACCGGAGATATGGAGTCGGTGGAGTCGCCATTGCCATCCGGTCCACTAGTCACCTCGGCGACAGCAGCCAAGGTGGTGCTTGATCCACCGAGAAACCCCAATCCCACGGTCAAGTTTAGATTGTGCGCAGATCCCCCAGGCAAACCTCCTCCGTTGCCCAAGGTATCCGCCCTATTTTCACCGGAGGTGTTCGGGGGATTCAGCGAACCCACAGTGCCATATTGTGGTGACACAGCTCCGGACATGGCCTGCTGGAAAGTCAGGACTCCAGCCTGAGACATGCGGTCCCTAAACACATGGGCAAAAATATTACAACATTTTTAAAATAAATATAACTTCTAAAAAAAACGTTATGTATTTATTTCGTGTCACTAACTAATTTGTACTTTTAATACTATTAACACAATTATCTTGGCAACTTACTTATTAGCCACACCTACTTTTTCATTAATTATCATTAAATGCTAGCAATCTATATTATTTTTAGTAACGATTCAAGTGTTATTAAATAAGATGTAAGTAACAATACATTTTTTCTATAAAACTGCATCTAAGGACAAATAGTATTAGTATCCTTAGCGTATTAGCGTATCCATAGGTTAATGTAAACTTCATTTCAGCTCGTAATTAGGACATTTAGCGTGGCGTGATGAAAACTGATTGAAAAGTGCCCAGACACGTGGGCTTTTAGTGCAATTAACCTTTATTAGGCCGGACAGCAAATTTTCAGAGAGAAAAATAAGTCAGTAATTAAATCAATAAAGTATTTTTCGAGTATAGTTGAATTTGGCAAGCAAAAACTTCGACGGGAATATTCATATTCATGTTAGAAAGTTGATTCATAAATTTTATCAGCATAAATGTTTACATTCCATTGAATTCTAATTAAAAGATTTTTCGCCTTTTTATGTGCCTTAAGCTAATAGCTGAAATAGTCCAAGAAAGGCAAGAGATTCTTGCGGTTTTATGGCGAGAAGCAAGAAATATGGCAAACTTGTTACTTATTAAAAAATTCCTCTTTTCCGGAGTGAAATATTGGAGAAGTGCATTTTTTTATACCCTTGCAGAGGGTATTATAATTTTGGTCAAAAGTGTGCAACGCAGTGAAGGAGACATCTCCGACCCTATAAAGTATATATATTCTTGATCAGGATCACCTCCTGAGTTGATATAGCCATGTCCGTCTGTCCGTCTGTCCGTCTGTCCGTCTGTCCGTCTGTCTGTTTCTACGCAAACTAGTCTCTCAGTTTTAAAGCTATCGGATTGAAACTTTGCACACACCCTTCTTTCCTTTGCACGCAGTATATAAGTCGGAACGGCCGGGATCGGCCGACTATATCCTATAGCTGCCATATAACTGATTGATAGGAAATGCCATAACTCTGCTGTTTGTTAAGTTAGGAAGTTGGAATTTTATATGGGTTTTATATTTGGCCAATCAATCCGACCTACCAAATTTCATAAAAGATCGGCCGACTATATCCTATAGCTGCCATATAACTGATTGATCGGAAATGCCATAACTTTGGTGTTTTTAAAGTTAGGAAGTTGGGATTTTTTATGAGTATTAAGATTGCATCATATGAATAATTTTGGAGAATATAATTTACAGAATATTCTGCAAGGGTATATCAACTTCGGCTCCGCCCGAAGTTAGCTTTTCTTTCTTGTTTTTTTTTGTGTCTAAAGTTCCACAAGCCATTTGCTAGTAAATTGTGAATGGAACAAGAAAGGAAAGCTAACTTCGGGCGGAGCCGAAGTTGATATACCCTTGCAGAATACTCTGTAAATTATATTCTCCAAAATTATTCATATGATGCATTCTTAATACTCATAAAAAATCCCAACTTCCTAACTTTAAAAACACCAAAGTTATGACATTTCCAATCGTTCAGTTATATGGCAGCTATAGGATATAGTCGGCCGATCCTTATGAAATTTGGTAGGTCGGATTGGCTGGCCAAATATAACACCCATAGAAAATGCCAACTTCCTAACTTTACAAACACCAAAGTTATGGCATTTCCGATCAATCAGTTATATGGCAGCTATAGGATATAGTCGGCCGATCCTTATGAAATTCGGCATGTCGGATTGATTAGCCAAATATAAAACCCATAGAAAATCCCAACATTCTAACTTTACAAACACCAAAGTTATGGCATTTCCGATCAATCAGTTATATGGCAGCTATAGGATATAGTCGGCCGATCCTTATGAAATTCGGCATGTCGGATTGATTAGCCAAATATAAAATCCATAGAAAATCCCAACTTCCTAACTTTACAAACACCAAAGTTATGGCATTTCCGATCGTTCAGTTATATGGCAGCTATAGGATATAGTCGGCCGATCCCGGCCGTTCCGACTTATATACTGCGTGCAAAGGAAAGAAGGGTGTGTGCAAAGTTTCAATTCGATATCTTTAAAACTGAGAGACTAGTTCGCGTAGAAACAGACAGACGGACAGACAGACGGACAGACAGACGGACAGACGGACAGACGGACAGACGGACAGACGGACAGACGGACATGGCTATATCAACTCAGGAGGTGATCCTGATCAAGAATATATATACTTTATATGGTCGGAGATGTCTCCTTCACTGCGTTGCACACTTTTGACCAAAATTATAATACCCTCTGCAAGGGTATAATAAGGCAGAAAACATTTGTAAAGCCATTTGGCATTAAATCTGCAGCTTCCATCTCAAAAGCCCATTGGGCCAAGGTCGCGCTGGGACGCCAAAGACAATGGCAAGTCGTTGGCCCACAAGGAGGCTCCAGGCGGTCGGGGTCACCTAATTAGGGTGGCCCTTCTCTTCACCCCTCCCCACCTGCCGGGCATTGTTGCAAAGTTTTTAATTATCATTTTTTCTTGTTTATGACTCGACGCCTTCTGCTACTTTATCATCATCTTTGTCTTTTACAGAAAACTGAGAAAAGTCTTATACAATTTTTCGTCTTTTATATTATTAACATTTTAAAGGAAAACCTATTTCAAATGTAAGCAAACCGCACATACCCTAATATATATATATATATAATAAAAACTCTTACCTGGCGCTACTGCTGTGCGAAATGCGCTGAAAATCCGAGTCAATTGGAGCTCCGCCGATACTGTTCCGGGTGTAAGTATAGTCCGAGTGCAACAAATTTCCAGCTATCGATGAGGCGCGACGTCTGTTCAAAATCGGGGACTTCTGGGTCCGCAGACTCTGCTATGAATGGTGATATGATCAAAAATAAACAGACAAATAGAAAGGAGTTAGAGGTGCCGCTGAAAAAAAACTTAATGTTTACATATCTGTAAATATTTAATGAAATATGAACATTTAGGTAAAGGTTAAATTAATTGTTGTTAAAGTGTATGCTGGCATTTAGAATTCAACCTTTTCCAAATTTGTCGAAAGATTGGTAGCTTTAAATATAGTTATAAATAGTAATTAAATAAAAGTTTATGTAAAATTTACTTTAAGTATAATTTACTCTTATTTTGCATTAAAAAATATTTAAAAATTGCTTTAATATTTTAGTGTATTAAAAGTGTTTTTAGATTATTTGTATGTTAAAATAGAGATACTTACACGACTCCCAGTTGGATTCTGGGCCGCGTTGAGAAAATCGTTGAAGGTGGAGAGCGGAGGTGCCTCTTGGTGGACCAATTCCTCATCTGTTTCCCACTCCGAGTCGTAATCCAACTCAGTATCGTCCGCATACTGCTGAAGCGGCTGAAATTGTTGACGTTGCTGCCGCCGCTCAAATTGCAGATGTTGCTGCTGATGCTGCTGATGTTGCTGCTGCTGCTGATGTTGCTGCTGCTGCTGATGTTGCTGCTGCTGCTGCTGATGCTGCTGCTGCTGCTGCTGCTGATGTTGCTGCTGCTGCTGATGCTGCTGAAGTGGCTGATGTTGTTCGAACTGCAGATCCTGATCGTACTGGAACTGCTGTTGCATCTGCTGCGTCTCCATGGACTGAGCATAACCGTATGCGGCTGCCGAAGTGCTGGGGCCTTGGTTGTAGAAGCCGCTCTGCTGCTGCACCCGTTGCAAGGTCGTCTCACGGGTGTGGTACGCCCCCAAGCCACTGTGGGTGGGCGGAGTCGGCAACAGGCGGTGCCCCACATGCACGGCGGGCGGAAGTTGCACCTGCATCATGGGCTGCTGATGGATCAACTGAGGCTGTTGCTGATGGCTCACCCCTTGCAGTTGCTGGTAACTTGCCCCCTGATGTTGCTGCAAGCTAGCCTGTTGGTACTGCTGCTGGATCACATCTTCGTGCTGCTGGTACTGCTGATGGGTAATTCCTTGATGTTGCTGATGGGTAATTCCTTGATGTTGCTGATAGGCAATTCCATGAAGTTGCTGCTGGGTCACCTGTTGGTGTTGCTGTTGCTGATAGGTAACCCCTTGATGTTGCTGGTGGGTTACTCCGTGATGCTGTTGGGCCATCTGTTGAAGCTGCTGATGGGTGACCTGTTGATTTTGCTGATATGTCAACCCTTGATGTTTCTGATGGGTCACCTGTTTTTGTTGCTGGTGGGTCACTCCTTGATGTTGCTGGTGGGTCACTACCTGATGTTGCTGGTGGGAAACCCCTTGATGTTGCTGGTGGGCAGCCCCTTGATGCTGCTGCTGCAACATCGGCTTCTGCTGCAGCTGCGGCTGCTTGAGGATCGGCTTCAGCACATTGTAGGCCGGCTGGTGGGGGAGCGGGCGAGGGCACTGGACCGTGGGTGCCGCTGCTCATGCTGTCGCTCTCGTCGCAGCTGGCATCTGAGCACGGGGACCGGAACCACGGGCAGCAATCAGGATAACGTAAAAAATAAAAGGGTACATCTCATTACAAAGAAATCGAAACCATTTGTATTTTAAAAAAAATCAGATTCCCTCATCAAAAATAATATGTATTGCTTCAAGCGAAGCTTTTCAGATAAAAAACATTCCACTTAACATACAAAAAAGTTTAAATCCATTTATATTTATAAGTACTCTAACTTGAACAAGTTTTCAAAAATGTATTCAGTTACTTTAGTGCAGTTCTCTTCAATTTTAAACTTCCATGAAAATCTGTGTTTATTCATCGCAAATTCCAAAAATCGAACAACAAAAGAACAATAAGCCCAATAAAATCGAACATGGTTCGCCATTCCTTGGATTTCTGTCAAAGGACAAGAGTGCGCAATTTTTCATAAATATTGCCTGTACCAGTGCAGTTTGCCCAAGTCATCAGGTTAGACCACTTGTTTAGATTTCCAAGCAATAGCATTTGAACAGCAATTCAGAACGCATACTGAATATGCACAATAGTAAAAATACCAATGGTGCAACAGAAATCACAGAAATCACAGTAGGAGACCAGAGAAGCCAAGCATATCCATGTCCTGGCAGCTTCATGGAATCTTGTCAAAGGTAAATTTCAGGACCCAATAACCTTCGCATTGGACAATATTTTGCAAATAAAATCAAACTATAATCTGATATACTTGTTGGTTGTCTGCAGTCAAAAATTGATTGTTTATTGTTTAATTATTTATTGTGCTTAAGTTGAACTATGATTATCAAATATTTTGGACTTCAAATCATAAATATTAGGCTACTATAATCTCAGCACATCAAAACGAAATTCGTCAACTAGATTGTTAATTGGGTTTTCCAACGTCCAGTTGCCAGAAAATAAAACCGCAACCTTGTGGGCCAAACTAATGTGGCCAGTTCCGGAGGGACTAGCCGACATTCTCTTCACTTTTCAACCTTATCTCTGTGAAAAAAACACAAAAATGTGGAAGTGACGGGATGGGACACCTGGGCCACCTGCACCTGGGTGTCTATATATCGCCCTCTTTGTGTGTGTCTTTCCCAGGAATTATGTTCCCCAAGTTGAAGTCAAATATGAAAATGTTTTGCCAGAACCCAAAAAGAAAACTTTTTCCGAGACATTTCCTAACGACTTTGTACGTGTGTATGTATGTGCTTGCTTTTCTGTTTACATGTTTATAGCCCAGCTTAAGTTTTCTTTGCTGTTTCCTTTTGTTGGGCTAAAAGAAAAAAAATTTAATAAACTTTAGCTCTTTGTGCGTCGGTTGGCGCCATAAAAATTGTCGGTTAGACCCGGAGCATCGCTAAAAATATGGCCACATATGACAGGCCAACTGACTCGACCTTATAGATACCCAATAAATAATTATGTTGGTTTTAGGCGAATCCTGTCACTCAAAAGTGGCGATTTGAAGAGATGTTAAACCGTGACACTTTTGGGAAAACATCTTGACAACAGGCCAATATTCAAGCATATTTTTGTAAAGATTCTAAATTTACAAAAAAAACATTCAACCAACACAATAATTGAAAAACACGCTAAAGCAAAGTTAAAAAAAGGACAAAAATATTTTAATTAAATCAAAGCTGTTATTCAATATAAATAAATCAAAAGCTTATGAAAATCTTCTAGTGCATAACGAAAAAATATAAATTCTTGACTAACATACTTTTGTGTTATATTCGAAACGTTTTAAAATGCACAATTTCCTTACCAATCTACATCCTCATTATTTTTGAATTTTCTCCGGGGAATGCATACCCCCGAATGTTCAGCCATGTCCAATGGGTGGCCATAAAAATTGTTTTCAACATATTTATGATTAAATTTCATGGCACCGAGTTTGTCTAGGAAACTTTCTGGGTGCTTTCTCTTAATTAGCGTGTGGCACATTATTCGCCGAACAGAGCTTAGAAATTTTATTACGCTGCCTGCCGCATTTAAATTTTCACGAACAGTAGCTAAGAGTCTATTAAATGGGACTTGTTGAAGACAAAAGTATCACTTGCAGTTCAATCATTTAATTATGAGTTTGCCATTGTGGGGCATTTGTCCCTTGTTTTTGTTCATTTGAGGGCATGATTCCAAGAAGTAATTCCGTGGATCCCGCCGATGAATCATAATGTCTGATGCTCTTTTCGCTTCAAACATTTACACAGCCGCATTCAGTCGAATTAATCACCATGAAGGGCCATCCATTATAGAAATGAGTCGCCGGTCCTTTTATCGAGCGGCTCCATTCAACAGTTTACCAAATGCAATTAAGTGAATAAAGGCAGAAAGTATCTTTAAGTTGGAATCCTTTCACCTGACGATGGTCCGCCCCAAAAAAAAAAAAAAAACAGAACACCCCGATTATCCATGTAACCCGTCAATGTCACCCGCCTCCTTTTTTGTTGGCCAAAATGAAAAAGGATTCAGGACAAACAGCGGGTAAATGTCGGACCTTTTTCGCTTTATACTCTTCATTTGCCACTTTTTAAGTTGATGTTTAATTTTCGTTTTGGGCTCCCTTCCGGCTCGTTTTTGTTGGCTCTTTGGTGCGGCCTTGACTTTTCCGTTTTATTATTTAAACCGAATTTAAAGCCCATTCTGAAGGCGATTTTATCCCATATCCTTCCTAATCTTTAATTCTTATACAGCTGACTGGAACAGCACACTAAAACTCTTTTAAGCAAATTAGTTTAACAGACACAACAAGTTTTTTAACACAATTTTCGGCTTAAATTGAATCATCTCTTAAAGTCAAGTTACGAAAGCTAATGCTCTAAGCTGATTCCCAATCGAATTAAGTTAAAAAGCTGTCTACAAAGAAGGTCGACTTGACCAACGTTTACTATCATTTTTAGTCATTGCCTTCTAAGCAAGCGGTTTAGTTTAATAACACTAGTTTTCAGGAAACAAAATCGGTAACTAAATACTTCTAGAACCTTTGCCTCAACTTATCGAAAATAGATTTTAAGAAGTTAAGTTTAAGAAGAACACCTTTCAGCTATCGGATACTAGGAAATAGTTGACATAGAAATGGTCAACATATAACAGAATATTGTTATTGGAGATTATTAAAGACTTAAATCACAAACACTATTGGTTTGCAATGGCTAAAGTTTGGGTCTCGAGAAAGTCAACATCTGTAAGCCAGTGTAATGGGTGTCCGGTGCTAAGTGCTTCGAACAGGACGAGAAGGACTTGGCTGCGCAGGACTTGTGTCTTGGCTTGTTGTCAGGTGCCACAAAACGGCCGCAATTGCATCAACGTGGCAGCCACAAAATCCGACAGGTGACTGCGGCCTCGTTAGTCGGAATCTGGAATCTGGAGTCGGTAGTTGGGAGTCTAGAGTCTGGAGTATGGAGTATGGAGTATGGAGTCTGGAGACCGGAGTGTGCCCCATGTCATTATGGCCGTAAAGTGTCACTTTGTGCCCGGAAAACAGTGCCAGGCGGGAGTCTTAATTAACCTGCCAGGCGATGGCCGTGCAGCATGCAAACAGTCAGCCCATTCTGCAATTGGGGTCACCACCCATGGCACGCACTTCCGACACACTTCGTGGCAGCTCCTCCTCCTCCTTCTCCTGCTCCACCCTGGGAAAAAGTGCACCCCTTTGTGGTCCCCTTTGCTGCCCAGTTACTAGATGACTAATTCCCTAATCAAGCGCCAGCCCCTGCAGAGCCTGCATTTCCGGAGCGATAAGCTAGATGGCCGAGATTTCAGTTTTCCGCTGCGGAAAAATCCGCATTGCGTGTGCTTTTAATTGCGCTTTACAACACTGTCAAGTGATAAGAAGCCACAGGGCGGATACTTAATCAGGAGAAAGTTATGTGAATCTAAAGTAGTTTTCTTTTAAAATGTAGTTCAGCATGCTTAGCCGCACTCAAGATAAGTTCGGGTAGGGCACTTTTCTATCTTCCCATGCATTTATTTAAAATAATATATTTTAAATATTTTTTAACTCTAAATGAAGATTTTTGTTGTACAAAATTATCATTTTTAATATAAATAGTAATAGGTATTTAAGAACTCTAAAATTTATCTTGATTCATAATCTTTGTGATTTCAAAGCTTGGATCAAAAGGCATTGCTACTCAATATCATCTGAAGTTAAAGTTTGTTGTAAAAACTCACCGAAATCGAAGGCTCTTTCGAGTATGACCGATCCGCGTTTCTCCTGCCGCTCCTGTCGCTCCTGCAGATCCTTGTTCTTCGAGGCTGCCAATTCGGCGGATGTGATGGTGCTCGAATTGTCCAATTGGACCTTAAGTGCTGGCGTTACCGCACAGCCGCCGAGTGCATATCCCTTCGGGTAGGTCGCCCCACAATTGTCCTCGCCATCGGGACCCGATCGAGGCACCTTGCCACTGCCATAAACGCACTCGCAACAGGCCAAGGTCACGTGTTTCTGGCCGGGATTGGTTTTTTGCTGCTGCTTTAGCTGCTGCTGTAGATTCTGCAGGCCCTCGGTGGAATGATCATGATGAAGACAACAGAACTTGAAGTGATCATCGTCGCCCAAGAAGAGCTCACAGCAATGCTCCGCCGGCGGTTTGGGCTGTTTCAAGGCCGGCTTCAGGTGCGTTTTCGAAGGTGGTGCGTACATATTCTGTCCGCCACCACCTGCGCCAACACCTGCTCCACCACCAGCTGCCCCACCAGCTGCCACACCTGCTCCACCACCACCACCACTGGCTATCCCACCAGCGCCACCAACACCTGCCCCACCGCCAGCTCCACCACCAGCTCCACCACCAGCGCCACCACCAGCTCCACAACCAGCTCCTCCACCTGCTCCACCACCTGCTGCAGCACCTCCTGGACCAGCACCCCCCGGACCACCACCTGTCCCACCAGCAACATGGGCATCCGGCAGGGTCAGGTCCAGGACACTGCCGCTGCTGCTGGAGCTGACGTTGGGCGCGAGGGTCACGGGTCCCAGCCCCAGGGCGTTCAGCCCATTGCTGCTCAGGGTCAGCGATCCTCGCGACCGGTTCCTTCGCAGCGAACCGACCCGGTTTGCGGGGTTGATTGTGAAACTTACATTTCGGTTGGCATAGAGGTCAATGCTGCTGCCACTGCCACTGCGGGTGCGCGGCTGAAAAGCGCGTTGCTGCAAAAGAGATAATGGCAAAATAATTATAAGCTTAATATAGATAATAGTTATAAGTAGCTTTAAAATATTACCTACTAAAAAACGGATATAAAGCTGTGATAAATAGCTAAAAATAAATGTTCGCGGCAACCTCAGATTGTAAAAGTACCAATTTAAGAATTAAAACTGGTTATTTACCTCTATTTCTATTTAAGCAAAGAACTTAAATTATATTTTCCAAAGTACAAAAGCAAATATAACTGTTACCTACAAAATATTAACATTGGTATTAAAAACTGAAGTAGGTCACCTTCCGCCCGATAAACTATCGATGGTTAATGTTAAGCTAACATTAAGTTTAACATAATCTGTAAGCAAGCCCAATGTTATTCATTCTTGGTATATGCATTGAATAAAGTGAACGTGTTTTGATAGAAAGTGAATAGAGTATTATGTATATAAACCTCTCACAAAACTTTAGTAATAAATTATAATTTTATTATTTAAAAAGAAGTAGCTTTCAATGAAATTAATTTGATATTTATTATATGCTTTTTTTAATGAAATTGGATTCAAATCAATATGATTTTAGTGATATTCCTTATGAAAATATATATGTTCCCTGCCATATCTCACCTGTGGGGAACTCTGCTGTGGTTGCAGCTGCTGCTGCTGCTGATTCTGGATCTGCTGGTAGTACTGCCGATCCGCACGATCGGATCGATCCCGTCGATCGCTGCGGTCGCCGCCGCTGTGACTCCGCATGCTGCCGCCGTACCGCTGCCGCTGTGGCTGCACGGGGCTGTTCTGGCGCGGAATCACCTGGAATAGTGCCGGGTGGAGGGGGAAGGGGGGAGGGGTGGTAAGGAAACAAACACATAATTATAATATCGTCTCATGAAATTTAAAGGACATGCGCGCGCAGGCGGAAACTTATCCAGAAAATGGGAGGGTCTCTCAGGGGCTAGGGGCTACCTTATCCTCCAGCAGATTGGCAAACAGCCCCACATGATCCTCGTCTTCGTTCATCATCGCAAAGAAGTTCTTAAACGTGTCCGGAAACGAGGCCGGAAACTGGCCACGAGCCTCCAACTTGGTATCCATGGCACTACAACTCTCTGTCCTTATTCTTCTTTACTTTTTTTTTTCTCACTTTCACTTTCTTTTTTTTTTCTTCTATGAAAACACATTTAATTTTTTTTTTTTTTTTGGTCCGTCGTCGATGCAGACCAAGTAACATGCAAGAAGAGAACAGTCATCGTGGGTTAGAGAGGGACAGCGAAAGCGATAGAGGGCAGGCGGAAATAGAATAATACAAAATGATATGCAACATAAAAGTCTTTAACTTTAATCTCAGGTGTGCTCATCCTCTGCAGATCCAAAAAACCCTATAATCATCACTATTATCATCACGACGACAGCCGGGAAATTCCGCTTTTCTTGGAAACATATTTGAACGAAATTCCTTTACTCAAATGCCATTTACAAAAGTGAAGATTTCAGAATATGGCTTTACAAAGTATTTCCTATTCGTATTTATAGAAAACGACAATTTGTACTAGGCAAACACATAATTAAGACCCACCCATAGGCGAAATTGAAATACATATAAAAAACTTTCTTTAAGAGAAACAGCTTTATATTTTCTTTATTTAAATGCAAATACGCCGCCGTCGCCAAAAAAAAAAATGTAAATTGCAAAGCCGGTTTAGTTCACAAAAATCCAGTTTGCTTTGTACAAACATTCATTCAGCAATCGCATCCATACCTTTTATAGGGTCGCTGTGATTAAGATTAAGGCCAATACCCAAGTTTCTAAGTTGTTGAACTTTAATTGAAAGCGAACTTCTTTCAAGCGCAACTCAAGGGTAAGTGAGTGGGTGGAAAATGGTGGGGAGGGGGAGGGGGTGGTGAAAATACTTAGCATACTTTTCGGCACCCCTTCATCCTCATCCCCGTCTGCCATCACCCATTCAACTTTCCTCTCATCTTGGTCTTTTCCTCCTCGCGCCTCCTCACACACTTTTTCCGAGCGGCTAAATTTGAAAAGTTATCAGACCGCCGCGGCCCGCAAAACTGATGTTAAAGTTGTTGACGTTCGAGGTGTCACTCCAATGTATATACATACATACATATTCCAACACATATATATACACCCCGGAAGAAATAAATATACCCCCATCTCGAGACTTACACGAAAAAAAACATGGGAAAAAAATTATTTTAATGGCGGTTTTTTCAGACTGGACACCAAACAACTTATTCAACTTTTATGCACTGCAAATGGACTAAACCCACCGCCACTTCTGTATAACAAAAAAAATACTCCCCCCCTCGGGCATGTAAATGTAAATGAAGTGCAGATGTGCGACCCAAACACAAAAAAAAAAAAGGAAACGAGAAATATTTTTACTTTGCAACTTTAGCGAAATTCGTCTGGCACAATTCAACGCGTCTCCGATTTTAGACACATTTTTTCAGAGTCAAAAAAGCAGTCAAAGTCAAAATTTAATAAATTATTACTTAAACCTAGGCAAATAAAAAATATATTAAAAGAACTACCTTTCTTACTCCTTAAATAGCACAAAAAATTATAAAAAGAAAAGAATTGCACAAATAAATAACATTGCGAAGAGAAAATAAATAGAATGGAGCTCAATTCATTATTCTTTGAGCATCCTTCACGGTAAACAGAATAATGAAATGTAAAACGCAACTCGAGGACAATATAAACGTACAAAATGTGAGTAAACTGAGAGGGCAAAATGTCAAGTTGTTGACAAGAAGGTAAATGCAGAACCTGAGTAAAAATAAAAAATATCAGTTATAGTAAGCCACTGGAAGTTAATACGAGGCAAGTAAACGCAGTGCAGAGTCCCTTAATAAAGAGACATCCACTGAGGAGTAACCAATTTAGTGACTCAACCAGTTGACTGGCATTCCTGGGCGTGACCATTATTCCATGTTGGCTTTATGGGCGGGCCCATTGCAGTCTAGACGGGAAAGCCAAGCCCAAGATGTTGTTCCTCATGGAGTTCATCGGTCGAGTTCAACAATTAAATGCAACAAATTATAGGACACTCGAACGGAATTACATTAGAACAAATTGCATTTCAAAAAGTAAAAATCATTTGCCATAATTTACAAACTGATTTGAGTGTTAAGCAATTAATTTGAATAAGATTTGAATTTAACCAAACGTCAAGCTTTGGCTTAAATAAAATATACATTAAAACTGTATTCTCTGTACACGTTGGCAAAACATTTTCGAGTGTATGGGGGAGAAGGTTGCCTAATGAGGGGATTTCCTAACCTAATCCGCTTTACAAAAGCGTTTGATCTAACCGCTGCCGGGCTATAATAACTAATATCCATAATGCCCTCTAATTTTCCACTGCAGCTCGAATTTGCTGCTAATTTGCAGTGGGAAAAGTTTTAGCGGATTGGGGGGTCCAGAAGCCCCCTTAAAAAATAAAAACTCCCCTCCGGCGTTTTGCGAGGCGTTGGCGGAAACCGTCCTCTTTCTCTCTCTTTCTCCTTTGCTATCTCACTCTCCCTCCTTTTTTTTACTGAAACATTCGTGGCTGTAAAACAACGAGAAAAAAGTTAGCCTCTTTCGTCAAGTCCCCAGCTCAACCATGTCAAGTGGGAACCTGGCCCAGACTCTCGCGTCGGGCTTATTAAAAAGTTGCGGACACAGTGAATGGCTCTTGGGGGAGCGTATGTGGGTACACAGAGAGAAATTTGTGGCCTTGTTACAACATATGTTAAGCCTAGCATATGAACGCGTTTACGGCTTTAGAGAAGTGTTAAAAACTATAACCTTTTGTAAAAAATGTTAAACAAACTAGTCCGACAATTATCAAAACTATCCTCTCATTACGAATTTTTGATATCAAAATACAAAATTAATCCATATAATCTCAAACAAATTATCAATTATTGGAGTATACGTGATTTTTCATATGAAAATTACATGAACAAATTGTAGAATAATATTTCTGTTCCTATTTCTCTGTGTAAAAAATACTGTGATAAGGGGATAGGTTTGGTCGTTTTGCAAAAGCGTTTAGTGTCCCCAGATGATTGTACGGAAACAAGGACAGCGTTTCAGAAAAATATATGAGCATACCTTAGATGCACCGCCGTCCTGCCTCCATGGCCTAGAATCCCAGGATCGCATATCCCTGCTGCCTTTTTAATTAGCAAGCCAAATGTAAATTCGCCCAAACGAAGGAGAAGACTTTTAGTAGAAGGCTAGCAGCAACATATTATTCTCTGTCTTATGGTTTATTCAGTCGCTTATATATTAAATGAATGTGGAGTTGAAGGCACGAGAACATGGCTACAAGAGTTTATTGGGCCAAAAAGGTAACGAAACCCCAATTTTAGTCGGAAATTGCAGTCCTCCTACTCACCTATCCAGCTTTTTGTTTGTGCATACAGTTGCGGTTAAAACGGTAGTGACACTTGGCACTGTAGTATTTTTAATTATGACAATTAGTCATATCTCGGAAAAAGTCGTAAAATGTTGTAAAAAGTTAAATATGTAATTGGTAGAGCATAATAACCAAACCGCAGCAAAGACTGATACAAGTTTTAATTAAAAGCACATGTACAAATTTCCTTAATTAATATAAACAAGAAAGGAAAGCTAACTTCGGGCGGAGCCGAAGTTGATATACCCTTGCAGAATACTCTGTAAATTATATTCTCCAAAATTATTCATATGATGCATTCTTAATACTCATAAAAAATCCCAACTTTCTAACTTTAAAAACACAAAAGTTATGGCATTTCCAATCGTTCAGTTATATGGCAGCTATAGGATATAGTCGGCCGATCCTTATGAAATTTGGAAGGTCGGATTGGCTGGCCAAATATAACACCCATAGAAAATGCCAACTTCCTAACTTTACAAACACCAAAGTTATGGCATTTCCGATCAATCAGTTATATGGCAGCTATAGGATATAGTCGCCCGATCCTTATGAAATTCGGCATGTCGGATTGATTAGCCAAATACAAAACCCATAGAAAATCCCAACTTCCTAACTTTACAAACACCAAAGTTATGGCATTTCCGATCGTTCAGTTATATGGCAGCTATAGGATATAGTCGGCCGATCCCGGCCGTTCCGACTTATATACTGCGTGCAAAGGAAAGAAGGGTGTGTGCAAAGTTTCAATTCGAAATCTTTAAAACTGAGAGACTAGTTCGCGTAGAAACAGACAGACGGACAGACAGACGGACAGACAGACGGACAGACGGACAGACGGACAGACGGACAGACGGACAGACGGACAGACGGACATGGCTATATCAACTCAGGAGGTGATCCTGATCAAGAATATATATACTTTATAGGGTCGGAGATGTCTCCTTCACTGCGTTGCACACTTTTGACCAAAATTATAATACCCTCTGCAAGGGTATAAAAAATCAGAATGCTGGAAGGACAAGGTTATTTGATACCATTGCTTGTATAATTTAAATGAAGTGAAAACTGTATTTAAATAATAATTTGAGATATTATCTTGCTACTGCATAACAAAAATGTATATTTGTTAAGCAAAATACTGTTTAAAAATGTTATTGAAGTTACTTTAAAACTTTACAATGGTCTTTTATACTAACAGCACTAAGGGTCGGTTTTTGGTGTCCTTTTCAAAGTCCTAGACAACTAACTATCTGCCCGAAAAAGTTAACGACCAGATAAACTTGTCGTAAAAGCAAATCGGTTTTCTCGACATCGGTGATTTATTTGAACAAGTGCTGTTAACCATAGAATTGAAGCTCAAACAAAGGGTTGCTTTGATTGAATCTTTTTGATCTAACTTCTTATATCAGCTATCATTTTGTCGAGCCGAAAAAAAAGGTTAAAGTTAGCTCTCACATTAACGCTTTTCTAAGCAGCAACTTTATCTATCCGATAAATTTTGACAGTAAGAAACCTGTTTCTGGTTTTATATAATCAATGTAAGCTTCTGTTATTCGCTGGAGAGAAATAAAAATATCTTAAAATCCTGTGTAGTACGGATTTAACCGCAGCTGTATGCCTATGTGTATGAATTTATGGCCTGCCCAAATAGGTATGCTACAAAACGCCAAATGAACCACAGCCTGCGGCGCGAGAGAGGTGAATGAGGGGTGAGGAAGGGAGGAAAGGAGGAAG